AGTCACCTGTGGACTCATTGTTGAATATAGCCTTTGTCATATTCACCTTGCGAATGACGAAAAACAATAATTAGTATAATATAAAGAAAAAATATCAAAGGAAGGGTAAAATTAGAGTTTTCTTTATAAACGAAAGAGATTTTTATATTAAATCAGGTCTACAGTACATTAAAGATAATTTATGTTATATGCTCATGTATGAGATATTTAATATGTTACAATGAATCAATAGTATAATTTATTTAAAATATTTCTCAAACTTCAGGTTTGAAATATCTACAAATCAAACTTGCATACCGGTTATTAATTTGTTCCAAAATTCATACCGGTTATTAATTTATTATTGAATCAAAAATTATGTTAAATCATATTATTGATCAGAGGTTTCCAAACTTTTTCAAGTCATGGCACCCTTGCTACATCCAGGTTTTCCCATAATGCCGGATGTATAATTCTAACTAGTGCACTGATAAGAGCTATTATTTTCTGAATTTTTTTTTTCGCTATGCAACTCTGTGCGGAAGTCTTAGTAGACGCAACACACAGTTTGGAAACTTCTGCTCCAGTTAATTGTTTATTTCAACTTCATTTAGTGGCACTGAATATAATCAGAATCAAATGTCTTCAAGTAATTACTTGGTTCCATTTCCTTATTGCCAATATTGCTTTTTGTTTCTAAGGGCAATATCATCTAAGAATGCATTCAGCATTTAAGAGAAAACAAAACCCAAGTACAAGAATATTAATGTCTCCATACACAAAGACACAACAGGATATAAGTATTGAAAGTACAAAGTAGACCAGACGATTACATGACATTTAGGAAAAGCATCATTCAATTCTGTAAAGACACATATTTACACTTTTTTTACCTTTCGATTTATCATCTTCACATATTGATTGCTAGTTGCATTGCACATTAGATGATATCATGATGGTCAGTCAGTACAGCAGAGATTCTTGTTTTACAAATTTTCTTAAATGGTTTTCCCAGTTTCTTTCTTTGTTCTAAAATCTCCACATGCCCTCCTGCACCCTTTCCAAACAACTAAAAGTGTTAAGTTCTATTGATTTTGGCTTTTCAGTACCACCACTAAAAAACCAATGGTTTGTTGCACTACTTGTTGCACAAGGGGAACTATTTGTTGCGCAAGGGCCACTACTTTTCTTTTATCACGCTTATCCTGATAGGGTGGTCGGTACAGAGGTTTCACCAATAACAAAAAAAAAAAAAAATATTTTTTAAAATTGTTTTTTAATTTTTATAGATTATCAACATTAAAAATTCTTACAGATAATTATATACTGCAGGTCAGAATTTTGAAGACAGCATTTCATTTGTGATTAACATCATATGCATTTTCATGCTATAAATATGTCAAGTGGACGGAATGCATTTTAAAAAAAGTCTTTAAATATTTGTAACAAAAAGATATGGACGGCATGGAAAATAAAAACATTTAGAAAAGAAAAAAAATTGAATTGGTCCAACTGAATAAAATAAATAGATAATGTTGCTCATCTATAGCAAGTAGGTTTATAAATACTATACTCAAATGTAGCAAGTAAGTATATAAACACTATACTGATATACCATAAAAATAACAAATATCCTTTGTACTTCCATTGAAAAAAGATTGTGCCTGCCTTAAAATTTTAACAAGTACAAACTTTTGTAAAAAATAATTTCTTTCTAATAAAATGTGAAACCAATAAACAGTTAATAATATATAGTAGAATAAATGTATATATCTCTGCATATTGATTGGCTCTGAAGGTTGTTTCTAATAAAAGCAGGTCAATTTCAAATTTTGGTAATTTAAATAAGAAAACCAAATTCACATAGATGGCTGAAACTCAAAAGGAATATTTTATTTGACTAAAATATTTTAAAATAAAAAATGAAAATCTTAAAAAAGATTAATTCCTCATTACTGCAGTACTAGAAATACTAAGTCAAATTTAATGTTAAATAAATATTTATTTACAAATGTTTAGCTTCCCTGAAAGGAAAAAAAGTATATGAAATTTAAAGCAAATTAATTAATTAATTAATTAATATTTAAGGAAAATCTTTTTAACAATTTACAGAATGACCCCTCATTCAAAAGTGAATTTGCATAACAAGACAAAAATGTAAGATAATATTTTAAAATAAAAAAATTTTGTTATGAAATTGAGTCGCAAAAACAAAAAAGTTAGTAGGTAAAATAATTTTAAACATCATACAAATTTTGAAAACCGCATAAAAATGTGGAATGTTACAAAAATTTTAATGGACGGTCAATTACCATTTGTATTGTAAAAATATTAGCTAAAATCTTTTATTATTGGCGTTTGATTTTCAGTGTCCAACAGATGTTTTCATGATATTATGTATTATCAATTATACTTGAAATTTACATGTTATCCCTCTATTGCAGAATTTATGGAATTTAATAATAGACGGACATTTTTTAATACGAATTAGTAGCACGGAAAAACTAGAAAAATGAATTGTATAGCAATTGAGTTTTTGTTTAACAATCCAATATGTCTTTCACTATTGTTTTAAAAACATATATAGTGGCTTTAATAAATGTTAATTTTAAAAGGAGCATGTAATTTCTTTTCAAATTCAAAAAATATGATCTGACTTAACTTAAAAGTGTAATTTTTTAATCTTACAATAGGTACTAATTCTGCTAAAACACAAAACTATATATGTAAAACATTTTGATGCTCATAAGGAAATGGCATTTCAAATGAATGTAATAACTTTTATACTTAAAGTTAAAAACTATTCTAAGCTTTAAAAAAAATGTATCACTAAATTTCATATGATGTGAAAATCTCAGAAATACAGTTCTTTACATTTTACATACCGTTACGTAACAAAAATCTAAATTTTACAAACACTAAAGAACTTCCATTGCTTCTATTTACACTTAACATTCTCAATAACTTGACAATAGTTTCAATTCTCTGTCAAATATGCCAGTTGTTAAAAAAAAAAAAGAGACATAGAATTGTTATTTTATAGTACACAATTCAAAAATAAATACAATTCACAACTTAAATTTCCCCTTAGCTGCAATGTCAACCAGGTAAAATTTGCTTCATTGGGTGAATGACTAATAAATTATTATAAAATATACATAAATTATTTATTTGTTCAATATTTACATGACTTTATTGTATTGCTGTTAGTTTAAATAGTTATTTTACATCTCTTTTTGAAGTAGGAATCTGTCTCATCAGTGCCAAATAACATGATATTGCTTTTAAATTTCAATGGCTTTATTTATTAACAGCCACAAATACTTAAAATTGATTATTTATGATACATTTATAATATATTATATTATATTTATTATATATTAATATTGGTATGAAAATATTTTATGAAACCCATTTCTTTACTTAACAAGCAAAAGAGTTCAAATGTTTTTTCGATTAATTCAATAATAGGAGAAATTACTGTCTTTCTTTCAACACTTTTAATTTTTTTTATTTAACTTTGGTTAATTTTTTTTTTATATTTGATATATTTCTTCTAGTTCCAGCTATGCTAATCCAACCATGCTTTATACTAATATTGCATACTAGCACAAAAAGAATAAAAACTAATTCTACACTAAAAATTTACAGGAATATTTAGACCCAAAAAAAAACTGACAGTAAGGTTTGGAATGTATTTATTTAAACAACAACAAATGGTAAACTAGGGCACTTACTGTACATTTATATACATAGAAACTTTACTTCAAATTATATAAATAATCCAGCCATTTCATTCACAGGAAGATAGCTTATAACTTATTGGCATAATTAGGGGTATAGTCCTTTGACTAATAAGGACAACACAATAAAGTGCCCGATAACATGTATCACAACTTTATCAATGCATCTATAAACAATTTATAAAAGGATAATTAATTGGTAATTTCCCTAATTATTAATTTTCGTTAAATTTATTTCATGTATTAGTTATTATTTTAATTCATTAGTTTTTTATTCAAACTATCCCAGTGAGAATTTATGCATTTGAGTGTCAGCTTACAAAAATTTTATTAATAATTCCAGGAATTAAAAGAAATACTTAATATTGAAATTTTAAATCCTTTTACGATAAAAACATTTGATGATAAAATTTTGAAAAATTATGTAAAAAATTAAATATGGCTATCAACAATCAGTGATGGACATTCTTTTAAAAACATTACAGTTTACCAACTTTACCGATAATGCTGTCCAGACATATAAATACAAAATAAAACAAAATAGTTCACTAAAACAATTTGACAATCATTTCAGAAAATGAAGTGTTTATAGTAGTACACCATAATCCTTATAATTAAATATTATGACTCATATTGTGTATTGATGGTTTCATTACAAACAGTTTATTTTGGTTACTTAAATTCAAGCTGGAAGCATTCTCTTCATATTATAGCAATAAGAGTATCATAAAGTTCATCCAAAATATTGTATCCATGACTTTTGGAAAACATGAATTTATTTTGTACTCTCAGATCTGATGAACTATGATCATGTCAGCAAAGCTTTATTTAATTTTTTTTTAAAAATAAAATAAATGATAAATCAGGTAATGCCCAAGATAATTTTCTCAAAATCAATAATAAAGACAAATATATAATGTATAATCACTGAGATTATTTTTCTTATCACAGAACATTTAAATATGACTCTGGCAAATTTGGAATGATACATTTTTGTTAGTTAAATACCCTTTGCAAGACAATTTTATCTCAAGTCAAAAAAATCTTGTTTAAGTGGCATTCTTTAGCAATTTCACAGTTTAAAAAACAAAGTAGTGGAAACTTGACAATATTTACATTTACAATATAACAACTATTACTTAAAATACATGATGACATGAGAGTGATAAGACTGGAAAAAACAGTGTGTGACTGCAATTATCACAGATAATTATAAATATTTCATTCTTTATATAAATTACTATATTTAATAGACATATTATTTAAATCTTCCAAATACAGGCAGTTAAATTGCAATGGCTTTTCATTTTTAAGGAGCTCTTTGTCTGTGCAAAACCCCAACTTTATAATAGCCTGACTCCTCAAGTGCTGCTTCAAGAATGGTTTGCATATATTCATATGTTATTCCCACATCTTTGTAGTCGGGGTCATAAAATGATGTCACTTGAATAAAAGAATCATTGAAATACCAGATGAGTTTCCAAAATTAATTGTGAACTAAATAGGTTAAGTTTGTGTTAGGGTTAGGTTAGCGTTGCTAGGTGGAGGCGAATGATGATGTGGGCTATACTACATGGAAAAAAAAACAGGGATTGCATAATCAGAGGGAGCAATATACTATAAAATGTTTTACATCACTTTAATTTTTACAAGGTCCATGAGTGGTAGTTAGGAGTTACCAAACTTAGTGAAACCAGTTTTTAGTTCCTAAATTTTTGTGAATAAAAAATCTAGTTATAGTAAATAAACTCAAGACATTATTTGTAGTCAAGTTTTCTTACCTGGCTTATCAGGATCCAAAGGTGAGTCCACCTCACTCCCTGAGACTGAGCTTCTCTTTAAATACTCAGGATTGCCAAAGTTAAGATCAATTATGTCCCTTGAGCCTTGAATCAGCTGAAATTTACAACTTTTTTTTTTACCTCTGTCTCAAAAGTTTTTTCTTCATAAGTAGACAATCACCATACAATTGCAATTAAACACATTAAATTTGACCAGTGAGCAGGTATCAGATGTAATAATCAACGTAAAAAAAGATGTTACCTTCTTCATTTCATTTTTTAGGTTCATTGAGCTACTGTTGGAAGAAAACAAGGCTCTCTTATACTGTTCTATTATCCTGCGAGTTGGGTTAGGACTTAATGTTGGAGGCAACTGAAAAGAGAATTTGTTTGTTAATCCTTCTGCTCTAGTTGGTCTTTCTGTGTGCATTTATGTTCTTAGGACATCGACTAAACAGCCCAGTCAGATCTATAAACAGCACAGCCTAGATTTCTGATTTTTAAGCATTAAGGTTTTAAAGATTATTTTATTATTTAAAAAAATTAGTTTTAGACGTTACTTAAGATCTGAATTAAAACTATATGTATCACCAAAAAATTTCTTTACTGAACTATTCTCTGGGTTATATTTGATAATTTTAAGACAATATTTAAAGATGATGATAATTTTGTATTATTTATCTGAGTTATGTATATAATCGTGTACATTTAGTTACCTGAGTTATGTATAAAACCTTGTACATTAGTTACCTGAGTTATGTATATAATCTTGTGTATCTGATGCAGCAACTGTTGCACTGGATCATTGATTTCCCTCAATCTGTTTGGGGAGATGGTCAGCATCGCTGCACTCCCTGGAAAAGTAATTCATTAATGTCATTATTTTCAATTCTTATTAATTTAATAATTGTATTTTTTCTTTAAAACTAATGAGAAATTCATGAAAGAGAAATAGATTTTTTTTTAAAAAATCATCAACCATTGAAAAAACAGAAAAATTGAGTAATCCAATAAAAATTATTCATAATGAGAGGATAAGCTGGTTATGCTTATCAAACGGGGTCACAAAATTTTCATTAAAAAATAAAGAACTTAAACAATCTAACCAACTTACTTGATCTCTTTTCAAGTTTCTTGGCTGCATTGGCTAAAGTTACTTCATTGGTGCTGTAAGATCTGACAATGTTTTTACCATTCAACTGTTCAGCACATTGCAGAGAGTAGCTTTGGCTTGCTACTGGGGACGGATCTCCTGAACTCAGCCCAGAGTCACGACTTGTTTTAGCTTCAAAATAAAATATGAATACATTTCTAAATACCAATTATAATAAGGAAATTTGCAATAAAGCCAAATATGGAAAACTTGATTTTTAGCTGTAATTTTTTTAAGTTCCCAGGTATTTTAGTCTTTAGCTGTATTTTTCTTACCTCCACCAGGTATTTCTAGCTCAAGGGGTCCTTGGTCAGCAATATTTAAATCCTGTCGTCTTAAATCTCTATGTAATCTCTGCCTGCCCAGTTTTAATGGTGGACAGTGTCTCTGAGAGCGTATGCTGCCGGCACTACTTTCTCTACTCTCACTTCCACTGCTGGGATAGCTGTCTTCATCTAAGTAGCATTCAAAAATATCTTTAGTTATATATTAGAGGTATACATTTTTACTTGAGATTAACATATATTTTTTTATTTAGCATGATTTAAACATGCAATACATATCATGATGATATGTATTGTAAATATTGTCAATACATATTGCAATGATCCAGTGCAACAGTTGCTGTTCGCTGACGATGCCGCCTTAACATCTCACACAGAAGAAGGTCTTCAGCGGCTAGTTAATCGTCTATCACACGCTTGTAAAGAGTTAGGACTGTCAATTAGTCTACATAAAACACATGTCATGATGCAAGAGTCACTGTCCGATCCAATCATATCTATTGAGGGCCATAATCTGTTTGTTGGTTATTGAGCATTTCACATAACTTGGATCCAATATTTCTAGTTCTCTCTCCGTTGATGAAGAGGTGAACATTAAGATCGCAAAAGCAGCAGCAACTATGGCTAAACTGAATAAGCAGGTGTGGAATAATCTCAATCTAACTGATAAAACAAAACTAAGTGTCTATCAGGCATGTGTGCTTAGTACGCTCCTAGATGGCAGTGAAGTGTGGACCACATATACCAGTCATGTGCGGAAAATCAACAGCTTTCATCAAAGATGTATGTGATGCATTTTACGCATTCAATGGCAGGACAGGGTGCCTAACACAAAGGTCTTTGAACGTGCTAATATGTTTAGCATATTCTCTGCTCTTAGCAAGAGGCATCTTCGCTGGTTAGGCCATGTAAGGAGAATGGAGGAAGGCTGTATCCCAAAGATGCTGCTGTATGGAGAGTTGGCAGAAGGGACAAGACTTATTAGACGGCCACGCCTGAGATTTATGGACAATTGCAAAAGGAGCATGAGGGAAGCCAACATTGATATCAACAAATGGGAGATCATTGCCTAACAACGCTCCAGCTGGCGAACAGCAGTGTATGAAGGAGTCAAAAAGTCAGAAGATGCACGAAACAAAGCCCTTGAAACAAAAAGAACAATACAGAAGGCCAAATCTTACCAAGAATCAAAATTCTCCTGCAAGAAATGCAGTCGATATTGTCATTCCAGGATTGGCCTAGTGAGCCACTCGTCGAAGTGTAAGCCAATATCGCAAAGACAGAAGGATGCCATATACATATCACCACAGCAAAAATTCCAAGTGATTGGTTTTACCGTATTTAGTATCTGATTTCTCTCAAATTATAAAAACTATTATCTTCACAGAGAAATCATTTCTCAGAACATCTATTTACCACTTATGTTCAAATCAATTTTGGCCAAATAATGTTTCAAGCCCACCGTATACTTTAACCTTCGGTCGATGTAGGATCTAAAAATAGCAACAGAAGTGTGGCATCATTGATTGCTATGTGGTTTCTGAATATATAGCTTTTGTGGCCTTATTGACCAACAGGTGTGACCCTGTAAGTGAGAATGTGAGAATCTTTGAGAAGGTTTTAGTGGGTAATAAAACGTAAGTCCTACTTCTTTTGTGTGAATCTAAACAATAAATTCAGTGGCTGGAAGTATTCTTTAAATAAATGCTATATTCCTTTTTGATTATGTTGTTAACATTGGCACTGACAGTAGTTGGCCTTTTTTTAAAAAAGATTTTATATAATGATAAGTTATAAATCTTTATTAATTTACCTGATACATTTCAGAAAAGAAATGGGCCTACGGAAAAACTATAAAATGTTAAACTTTCTTTGATATTATTAAAATATTTGTACCAGAGATATCACCAAAGTGGATGGAGCTGATGGAGACTGCCACACTAGATCCCATACCAGCATCGCTGACATCCGTAAATGGATCAATCCTATCGATTTGTTCCTAGAAAATATAGAAGACGCAGGTCATTTTTATAAACTTTTCAGATAATGAATGAGCCAGGTACTATTTCCTGCCCTAGACATGTTACCAAGATTAATTCCTGGTTACAGAAATAACTGAACAGACTTTCAATTATGATTAAATAAATTGGGAAACAATATTATTTATATGTGCTAGTTATATCATCTATATGGACTCCCTGAGGTCCTTTCAAGTATTTGCAAAAAAATGAAGATAAGTATTTTAAAAATTCATATGGTATTCACCTAACATTTCCTTCTTGACACTAAATAAATGTTAATATTTCTTCAAACCTTTAAGCCCTCAGCTCCTCCACTCCCAGCAAGATTTGCCAGTTTGTCATAACCTTCTTGAGATGCTAAAAACAGGCGGTGGTAATTTTGCATATTTCTGTTGGCTTCCAAGTAATGCCTGCACAAAATTGGAAATGAGGAACAATTTTAAATGTAATTTAAATTTTAAGAACTTTAAAAAAAATAGTTTTTGTAAAGAAAAATCAATGTGTGCAAAATGAAAAGAAGTAATGAATATTTTTTAAGTAAATATTTGGTTAAAATCACTTATTAAAAATGGGTTACTGCTCACTTTTGAGTTCTTTTCCTCTCTCTGTCCAGTTTTCTTTCAAGTGCAGTTTGTGAGATTCGTAAATTATCCATGTGTGTCAGTAAAATATTTGCCAGCTGGCCACTCAGTTCTAAAATATCAGGTCTCTCATCTGGATTCACACACAAGCAGCTGAATATTTAATTAAAAATTGTATAATTTAAATACCCATTTCATCCAAAATAATTAAAATTCAAAACTAAATAAATATTTTTATGTTGACTGGGATGAAACTAAAACAGTATATTGTTAACAAAAATAAAATACTTACCATTTGACTGTCTGTAATAATCTAGGTGAGTAATCTTTCTCCGGTATTGGCTTGTAGTCAGCTGCTACAATCTGAAATTAGGAAAATATATATCAATAAACTTCTCTCATTACCCTTGACTATCAGTATCATTTCCTCCTCATATTCTTATTAAAATTAAAACCATGTAAAATAATGACTTATAACCTACAAAAAAGATGTTTATTTTGACTAAATTCACAAAATTTGGGAAAAGTAGAAGAGCAATTCTCAGAGTTTGAGTTTCATTACCTTATTGACCAAGGTCAGCATATTGGTACTGTTGAATGGAGGCTCCAGCACACACATCTGATATAATATACAACCAAGTGCCCATATGTCAGCCTTCTCTCCATAAGCCATATTCTGAACCACTTCAGGGCTGAAGTAAGAAATAAGTATTGAGTTATGGATAAAGTAGGGAAATGAGTAAGAACTAAAGCAGGCTTGGCCAACTCACAGGCTGCATCCGACAGGGAAAGATAAATTTTGCAGCCCACCAGATGCCAAATGTATCACACATTTATTTATTTTATATTTTAAAAGTATTTTAAAAAATTCACTTTTGAAATTAATTAATTATAATATTTTAAAAACAGAATTATATGTTCCTTTAATCTATACTATTTGTTTATGTGAGGTATGTGTGGAATTATTTTATCTTTTGAGAATTGTGTGACTTAGAATAAATAAATAACAAAGTATATAATTTTTTTGTTTTATTTTATTTTATTTTATTTGACATGCCGCCCGCAAATAAATTGATCGTGGGCCCTTAAGATATAGAAGAAGAAGAAGAAGAAGAGTGGCCAGTGAAGCCTTTTGGGCTGACCAGCCCTGAACTAAAGTCTGCTCTACACATCAGATGACACAGGAAAAATTTAAAACTTGACAGTACTACATTAACAATGTCAGTGACTAAAAGTAATTATAACTTTTCTTTATATCAACCTTTTGAACTTTCACTCACTGTTTTCTTTTTAACTTTCATCCTAATCATTATCTTGATTTATATTAAATTTATTTCAATCTATTTCTTCTGCTTCTAAAAGAATTAAAATCATGAAATGTGTACCTTAAAACAGTTTTGTAGGTTATTATTATATTAGTAGCCCATGAAGAAGATATTTTAACAAGTTAATAAATTCAATATGAATCATGAATATTTTAATATACAAAATCTACCACATCGGGAGCAAATTACCATGAGTATAGAATTGTTCCCACAACAGATGTCATTTTACTGCAGTCACTTCTTTTCTGTTTGGCCAATCCAAAATCAGCTGCAATTATAAAATAATAGTAGTATCTTCTTCCACCGCCTTCAATAAAATTAAACTGTTCACATTTAACACATTTTTCCTGGATAGGGTTTAGTTATTGTTACTCTAAAATAAAGCGTCCTATACTCGAAGGGAGATATGGGCTAAAAGATTAGCAAAGGTAGAGGGGTATCACTTCAAATAAAACTATAGACATATAATATTATATGTTTCCATACTCACTTATAGTGACTTTGTCATTTTCCCCCAACATAATATTGCTTGGTGTAAGATCCCTATGTACAATTCCCTTTTCCTTGTGAAGGTATCGTAGAGCAAGGATTAACTGAAAAATAGCAGAAAATTTTCTTCACTGTGCAAAAATGAATCATGAAATATTTGGTGACATAAGGTTAAAGTATAATATGTCATCTTAAAGTCATGAAGCATGAAATATTTAGTGATATAAGATATACATGACATATAAGTAAAGTAATTGCACAAACTAAAGTTAAAAAAAAAAGTCTTTTAATATTATGCAAAATATAGGTTACTAAAAGTAGAAAAAAATTCTACACAGCCAGATAAGATGAAAGACATGATGTATAGTAATCTATAAACACAACCTCATAATATCCTCTCTAAAACCTACTTGTAATAAGATGTTCCATATCCGGCCCTCTTGAAACCTGTCATTCTTTTCTTTTAAAGAGTTGAAATGCTCCCCTAGATGAGCTCCTTCTATAAATTCCATTACTATGTACAGCTTGTCATCTGGAAAATACTTTGGTGTTAACTACTTTCTATTTTAACTGAGTGATTATCATTGGCCTAGTTTTGGCAGGAAAAAAAATATTTTATAAAAAGTATTGGTGAGTAAATATGTCCAATTAGTGACAAACTCTATAGCTTTAAATCAAACCTATAGCCTAATTTTAATTTGAACAATTAGCAGTTCCAATTCTTATAATTGAATGATTGCAACTAATTAAATAAAATTAACAGAGCCCTTATAATATTTGATTTGAAAAACTATTAACTGCACCAATGCAAAACACAAGATGTAGTTTAGATTAGGTTTTTGAAATAACTTAGATATCTGCAGTCAACACTTTGAATCCAATAATATTTTAGAACTGCTTTTTTGCAAGTTCATGCTTCTGTACAAACAGACATAAATGAAACAAATTATAAAATGTAATTAATATTCACTGCCTAATGAAATATTTAACTGTATACAATATTAACTCCAATACAAAAATACACCAAATGATTTTTATGGTAATTTTACACCTACTGAGTTCAAATGTTTTGTAGTAGCGGACTACGTTGGGATGTCTCATCTCTTCTTTCATAATCTTCAACTCATTGGTTATTTCCCCTACACTCATTGCTTTTTCATTAGCACTTTTACCAAAAGCCATGTTTTGAAGATTCACCTATAAATATCAATTAAACATTTTTTTAAATCTTTTAACAAAACATTAACTCTTATATACATTTTTCCCAAAGAATTTAATTTTAGTTCTCTTTTTCCCAATAGATGATAGCAAAAAAAAATGTATTTACACTACATCATGTACAATTTCTAAAAATATTATCTCCTATGACCTAGATTTCAAGCACTGGACATAAATTATATTTTTTATCCATATTTTCTTTTCCACATAAATACCTCTTTCAAAGCAAAAAAAGATTGCCTTCCCGTCTTCTTCCGAACTTTGTACACAGATCCGAAAGCACCAGTTCCAAGCAACTCAAAAACAGCATATTCTCCAATATAATAGCTGGGCTCTTTATTTTGGTTTGTGTTACGGATATTTTCAGCAATCTCATTTACAACTTCTTTCTATTAAATAGATGTTATTCAAATCGATAAAAATTTATTCAAGAAACATGTTGATAATAATAATAATTAAATCTGGAAATTATAATTGTAGGAAAAAGATGTAGATAATGGTCCCCATATTTTGCTGGGTTTTTTTAGGAAAAGACTTGTTAATTATTGTACCAAAAATGTTGGATAAAAGAAGGGTAATTTATAAGAAATGGTGGATACAAAAAATAATGCAGTAAAGTGACAAAAGCTTTGCATAGAAACAAAACACAGATATATTTCTTTTTTATTACTGGGATGAATAACCCCTCTTTTAAGGAGATGCCTTTAAAATTTTATTTTACCTTCAATACTACTTTAAAATTGGAAACATGCATGACGTGCCATAGATTAAAAGAAAACATATTCTTCAGATTATTTTTCATGTGCACTAAGAACCACTAAGGGATTATTGTTTTCCAGTTGTTCATTAGCAAAATAAATGTTACCATATTTCAAGTAATGCATTGTGCTCATATTTAATTTAAGATTGATTCTTAATTATCTTCTGTCTAAATATTTATTTTAAAAAAGTCAATGGAGGTAAATTTTACTAAATATAGATATAAAATTTGCATATTTATTTTGAAAGTGCACAAATTGAAATTTGGACAGCTCACAAATTTTTTTTAAAAAGCCAGCCAGAATGATAAAAAAGCAAGAGAATTCCAGTGGATATTTACAGTTGCACGTTAGCAATTTTCTATAATAGTTGAAATTTATAATCTGTCATTGATAAAAAGGAATAATATAATAATTTTACTAACCAGAATACTATTAATCGCATAGTAGCGATTTTCTATGATAGTTGCAATTTATAATCTGTTATTTATAAAAAGAAGTAAAATAATTATTTTACTTACCGGAAGACTATTTATCTTGTCGGCCAAAGGTTTGTATGCACTGAGTTCTCTATTGTAATGGCCGACATCAATAAACATTTCAAACAGCTCAGGTGGAAATAACTGTTTAAATAGACGGCGATTCCTCTCCATGCTAAATAAGAAACGAAGAGCTCGAAAGGCATTTTGCTGGGGACATAAGGTTAGAGGTGAGAGAATGACAAAAAACTAATTCAAAAGAATATGGTGAGAAAAAAAATAACCACATGATAAAAATATAAAATGGACAAATAAAAATATATGCTGAGCAATAAAAAGGAAGTTTGAAATACCTGCAATTTAGCTGATCTTTTCTTTTCCTTTTCTAAAGTGACATCCTGTGGAAGTATAAGCAGGCCAAGGGAATAGAGGCCATTAGCCTGAACTATCTGTTGTGCATTTGTATCATTTAATACCAGCTCTGTAAGGGCAGCACAGCATGCTTGAGATAGAAGATAATTACACATATAGCATATCCATATAAAGATGTAATGTAATCTACCGATTTAAAAATAATTCTTAAATATAATTATTATTAATTAGGGATGTATCCAAATGAGGGTTATATAAGAGTACCCATTAAATGTGCCAGAGCCACAATAAATTACTTAAAAAAAGAAAATCACACTTTTTATCTAGAAATACGAGACTACCTTTCTTTAAAGAAAACTGATGTTCGAAAAACTCCTCCTGGAATTAAAAAAAATCAGTAATATTAAGTAAAGTATTTGTAACAATCTTAGATTCATTTGATTCAATATGATTGGACAGCTTTCATTATTAATTATAAAATACACTAAGCTAAAAGTCTATTACATGAATCATACAAATAAAGCCTTCAAATCTTATCTTATCTACTGGAACAAGCTATTCTAAATTGACACATGCATCAAGGTACAGATATAAAGATCAATATTCAAGCTAAGAATAGTGAGACTTTGGTACAAGATTCCCATGCTAAAACCAATAAAGTTGTTTTATTGGTCTCGTAAGTAAATATTATCTACTTTTATTTGAAATGAAACTCCAATACTGTAAACGCTGTCTTACATGTTCTTCATTGGAAACATGTTTCCTTTGAGTTCCAGCACTGGCCAAGACATGTTTACTGACATCTGTCCTCTCACTTACAAACTTCCTTTCACTGTAAGGACAGGTATAAATATGGATCTAAAAACATTCAATAATGGCTTTAAGATCATGTTAGCTCTAGTTAAGACTTTGTCCTCTTAAAAAAAACAAAAAAACTAAGAATAAATACCAAGATGTTCAAGCTGCTCAGAATAAAAACTACATAGTAATGTACTGATGCAAGTGCATTAATACTTTTAAACAAACTTACTGTAGTAATGAAAGTATTAAAGGAATCCCTCCCATCTGCCTGATTTCATCTCGACAATCAGCATCCTCACATAGAAGCACTAAACACCACACTATATGCCACAGAAGACTCACATTGTCACTGTGTAGTTGGCTGCAAAGTTGAAAACATTTTCTACAATGCACACTAACACATCTGGGATTGGTACACATATACTTATTTAAATAAGGTACATCAAATTAATGTGTAGTAAAATGTGTTTTTCTTAAAGATTTTTTTAAATAATGATACCTGATGAGAAGAGGAACACCATCTTCCATTTTAACCTGCTCCCTGGCTTGTGGGTCTGCACATAAAAGTCTCAGCAGATTTGCAGCAAGTCTAAAAGATATTAATTTTTTTTTTTTACAAATTAATGATGTGAAGTATCATAATTTCAATAAATTTTATTACAGAAATTGAATGTATAACATATATTAGCAATACAAAATGTATGCATGCATAAGCTCAATTACAAAAAAATGTGTTGCTTTTTGTTGACATGTCAAAAGAAACAATACCTCAATTATTTTTTTTTAAAGTAATTACTAACTTTTTAGAGATGGTGTCATATTCCTGAATTATTCTTAGCAGCATTTCCACAGCATTCAGTTCCCCAATTCTTAATCTTGGTCCTACACTGAATAAATATATATGAACATATTTGTTTAAAAGTGATAAAAGAGTTCTATTATGACACAAAACCATTGAAAGATAAAAGTTCTAAACCAAAATTGTAATCAATAGTAGTTACTATCCTAGTGTCTCATTTTTATTTTACTTAGTTTACATGTTTTTAATAATTGTAAAGCGCTTAGAGCTTTAAGGTAAGCGCTATATAAAAAGGCCTAATTAATAAATAAATAAATTATAAAAATTATTTGACTAAAACTGATGTTTTACTTTGAAGTTATAGCCTACGAAAAGCAACTTGAAATAGCATATTGTATAATATTGATAATTTTGAATTGCTGGAGCTCTTACTTCACTTTTGGAGTCTTTTATTTCCTAATTTTTTTATAATAAGTTCATTAAGATAATATATGATTATGATATACTCCTATTTTGGATCTAGGTCTTTTCTTTTTGACTATAACATTCCAAGCTGGTGGCAAAAAGAAGTTGTATGGTCAGACTTAACATATGATTTATAATTATGGCCCAATGCCAAGTTAATGCCAAGAACTGCTCACAAATCTCCTGGAGAGCTCAAAAAAAAAAAAAAAGAGTAATGCAGATTGATAAGCCTTGGTTAAATACAAGTTTAATCCATGCTTACTTTCAAAATTATTAGATTTAATGATTGGTTCTGACACTAGGTATTGTCATGGGCACAAGCCCTTGTTGGTTAAATATAACCTGGAGTTCTGATTTGTTATGTATTTTAAGCATAAATTAACAATAAAGTATTATTATAACCTTTGAGCAAGTCCTATGAGAGCATACAATGAACAATGTAGGACCAGAACATCTGTAGCTGTTAATAATCTGACAAGAGGCTGAGAATGGAATTAGTCAAGAAATCAGACAAGTTTGCAAACTGCTGCACATCTACTTTATAGATTAATTATTACAAATTGTGGGTTAGTCAAAATAATCAACACATTTTAAGCTTTTCAAAGATATTGAAGATGTCATTCATTTCTCATATTAACTTAGTGTTGTAATAAAATTATTATTAAAAAAGCTTCAATTTAATACATCATTAAGTTAACGATGGGGATATTATTATAAAAATGGGTGCAATTTATTTATGAAAAATAATGCAATTAATCTAGTCTAATCATAAACAAATTATATAACAGATTGTCATAAATTTTTTTGTTTTAAACATTAATAAACTTCATTGTAATTGTTAACTCACTCTATGAGCTTCACATGCAACAATTTGTTCACACCTGTCAACAGAAGCTGACAATTTCTGGAAGATATCTATCAAGTAAATCAAAACAAAAGTGACACTGGAATCAAATGCTCAACTAATTAAGTCATATAACAATTGCTTATAAAAATTCTTTTTTTTTCCCACTTTAAATCTTTCATGACAATTTAAAACAAGTAAATGTATGTGATACATGTAAGGTTAGTAAAAGAGCATGAATATAATACACAGTGCTTTCCAAACTGTGTGTTGGGACACACTGGTGTGTCACCTGTGGGATGTAGTTGTGTTATGGAAAAATAAGCATCATCAATATTCACAAATTTTTTTAAAAATTTAAATGAACCCACTGAAAATCAGTTTTTTGAAAAAATTGGTGCAAATTACATTTTAATGAAGTTCTAATCACTTGAATATGTTAACTATTATATTCAATATTATATTATAACTATTATATTATATTTTTTGCTCATCGGCCATCATTAGTGTTAATGTATTTTATGTGTGTCCCAAAACAACTCGTCTTCTTTCAATGTGGCCCAGGGACCCTAACCCAGTTGGACACGTCCATTCTGGATGTACAGATGTCTCTTGTTATTTATATTTCTTTGAGTGGTCAAACCAGCTCACTGTGCAGTGAAATTATGTACATCTAAAAAGTGTGTCACAGACATGAAAAGTTTGGAGAGCACTGCTCTAGTGGTTGACAAGTTAATTCAATATACCTCTGTTATAACATTTTTTTTGTGTGTTTATGCACAATGAAGTGTTGTTGACTCTCTCTCCATTCCGTACCTCCTGGGTTATGTGCATAGTAATAATTTTCAGATTTGACACAATATTTATGTGAGAAATGTTTTATTAGTTAAAACAATTACTAATTTTTTTAATGTACTTAATTTTTAAAAACCATGACTACAACTATTTTGTAATTACGAACTATAACCAATGATAACTCAAACTGGGATATGCTTTTAAGGCTTTGCTATACCGTTGATTCACTGTTTCCGAAAATTGAATCTCCTTTCTGGTGAACGTTTTTTTGCATTTTAGATTTTTCCATAATATGACACTCTTTACATTCTTTAAAATTTCAAATCAGAACCATACAAAGAAGTGGGTTAATATTATCAAGCCTACAAACTTTCTATTTTATATTTGTAGAGATAACTGAACAAAGAAAAGCTTTCAGTTCAATATCATTGTATATAATAGGTATAATAATTAGCCATGGGTATATTGCAATTAGGTATTTCTTACTTGTCATCTCTTTGAGAATATCAGCTAAAAATGGGCCATCTCTGCTGTACAAATATTCTTCTGTGATTTTTTGGAAATACTGTAATATAAAAGATTTTTAAAACATAGAATAAACGAATCAACAATTAGGAGAACAGGCAAGTAAATAGTTCCTGCTGCACATAATCAGTGGTAATTTTAAAGTTTAAAAAAACATGTTCAATTATATTAAAAATTAACAACCTCTGATAGAGACTTGAGACCATCCAATGTAAAGAACTGTTTTTGGTAGCTGGAATCTCGCAGCAGTATTCTCAAACACATCAAGACCCTTAGAACATTCTCTAAAGGAGCACGGCTGAGCCATTCTCTGGAGAAAATATTTAAGTCAGTCAATTTTTAGTTGTCAAAAGCAGTACAAGCAAAAGTTTGATGAGTTCAATTTGCTTCATTATCCAAATTCATTAAGGCTATGGAAAGGTTGTGGGTAAAGATGTGTTCAGTTACATTTTTCATTGCTTCTTTTTTTGGCAATGTGGTGGTAAAGAACGTTAAGATTAATTGCTTCCCTTTCTCAACATTAACTGTTAAATTAAATACAACTCACTCTGAACACAGTCTATTTTTTGTCAAAGAAACACACATTTCAAGAAAGTATGGATGATGAGGATGGCTGCTGAATTGCCTTTCATCTTTGTATTTCAAGCTGTTTTAAATCAACAGAAACAATAGTCAGTGATTAAATGATAATGTAAATAAAAGACTGGGATATCACCATTGGTTTAAAACTTAGAAAATGTGTCCAAAAAATATGAAGTAAGAAATTTTTCTGAAATTAAACTACTACTACTATTGTTGTATTTGGTCAAAGCTTCTAAATAATATAATGGAGATCTCTTATCTGAAAAGCTTTTTTTTAATATTCACCTAAAATTCTGTAATTCAGAAGCTTCTGAGGCCAGATTGGCACAAGTTCCAGGACGTAGTATAGGGATACTTTCTGTTGTAGGGGATCTTAAACTCACTGGATACTTTACTGATGGGAGCGGTTGTCTACTTGCTGGAGCACTTATCAGAGCCAGTAGATGACATAATTGTTTGGCATCTCTGAAACAACACATTTATTTTAAATTCATATTCTTTGATATTATTGCTCTTTAAACCAAATAAAACACAATTTATTTATGTTAAAAAATTATACTGTTAAAAAGTAATAAGGAACTTCAACTCAAATGTGAAATATATCAGGAACATTTTTATTTCAATCAGAATAAAAATGTATTTTCTAAATCCATTTAAAGCAGAATTGAACATTATAAATTAAGATAAAATCACTTTTTAATTTGAAAAACCGAATCTCCCAAAACAAACTAAAACTATTTGCTGAGGCATAATAACAAATTTAATCTTACAATACAGTAATGACAGTCCATATTTATTGAAATATAAATATTTTTACCAATATCAAAAATATTATATAACAGATGTGTATTTATTTAATTATCCATCTTGAAAGTATGTACTTTTGTCAACATGAAAACTGTTTATGGCTCTTTCACAGATGGTTTTCACAATAACATGCATAGAGAAATTGAGTGTGAGAACTGGTGAAACACTGCACAAGTCATTTCATAAGCTAGGAATTAATGAATGTATTAATCAAAGGCAAGCTCCAGCTGTTGGCTATCTTTTAGTACTAAAAATAATCTTATGACATTTGATGTCAATGTGGCAAGTAAACATTTCAAGCTTAAATTAAACATTTAATTTTGTTAAAACTAAAACAAGAAAATATTAGAGAAATATTTTTCCTTCCTCATTTGAGTTAATGAATTTATTTTACGTTTTAGTTTAAAGTAAAATAAAAATTATATTCTGTGTGACTATAAAAGAGTATTTTATTTGCTTCATTAAACAACAGACATTATAATAAGTATTCAGTTTCAGTATACATTTGATAACTGATATTATATTTTAAAGCGGGGGATTAACTATGCCAGTGTTGTGTGCCCCAAACCCTAGTTACACATGAAAGTATATCATCTTTAACTAAAGTAAAGTACACCAGAGGAATGTTTCTTTTTCTCATTGACCCATCCAACATAATTTGCTAGGACAAGATGTTATTGTGGATACTAACAAGCAGATAGCTACACATGCAGGTTACTTTTATCTCTTGTTTCTAGCTCCTATAAATAAAATACATTTGCTTACACAACTAGGTAAATATCCTTTGCAGCAATAGAGATAAACTTTATTGTTAAATAAAGCAACATCAGAAACAGGGCTATGTGGAGACATTCCATGGCTGCAGATAATTATTTGTTTTGTCTACTGATAAATTGGTTCCTCAAGGCTTGATGACATATTATAAGACAACAGTCTCTGTTTATTCTATTATTTATCATGTATCATAAAACAGAAGAAGCTCACTGGGTTTTTCCTGCAAATTTTTCCTTCCTTTTCTAACATTTTTTTTTTTTCAATCAATTATTTTTCTAAAACATATCTTTACAATTTCATTACATCCTAAATTACTGTTGAGTATAGTATAAAAAAAGATCCATCATTATATAGGTTCATGCTTGTGTTGAAACTGTTTTATCAAAGAATTGGGATGGGAAAATGAATAAATGTAACTGTGTGTTACATTTTCCTTCTACAGAATATTTGTTTAGAATACAGTGTGTAGAGTGCATTAACAAGCATTTAATGTTAATTCACACCATGATCTCTTTGGAAATATTTAGATTATCTTTATTCAAAATAAAGAAAAATTATTCTACTTGAATAAACCATTATATTAAACCAGGGGTGGGCCAACTTTTTGTGCGGAGGGCCAACTTGACAAATGTAAAGCTGTTGGGGGGCCGCATGTATATTATGTCCAATTTTTACATGTCGATAATCATTTCTCTATATTAAAATCGGTAAATTCTCATTTTAGCATTGCATGACAAAGTCAAGGACTGTTTAAAAAAATAGGAAATTATATCAAAATTTGATCAAAAACTTTTAAAGAATCATAACGGTTCATGAAAATCTGTAAAATTCAACAAAATAACTTAAAAACAAAATAATTTTTTTTATTTCTAAATGCCTGCGAGGGCCGTATAATATCAGTTGCCAGGGCGCATGCCGCATGCGGCCCACGGGCCATAGTTTGCCCACCCCTGTATTAAACAATCCTTAGTCCAGAGGATACAACGAATTCCCTTTTACATCACTAAAGTTCTGTACAATATAGTACAATTATGTTGAGTTGAAGAAAAACAATTTATTATAACAAATATTGGGATTTGAAAGCTTTGATGCAATAAAATAACATGTTTTTTTCATTAACTTGGGTAGTTTTCATAAAGCAAATGAATCTAAACGACCCTTGACAAACTAATTGTCAAAAGGTATTAAGAGGTCAGGAAGGTATTTCTAATGATATTGATTTACTTTGTTACTTGAGAGCCTAGAGTAGTAATCAATACCTTATTGCTAGGGCAGGTGGATAACACTAACTCAACAAAATTAAAAATTGACAAATCTCCAGCTTTAATTACTAGAAGTATAACATAGCTTCAGCAGGAATGATAGAAAACATTGATGTCCAGTGAACAATAAAACAAATATGAAATGAATAAATAAGGAAGTTAACAAACTGGTATAGAATCAATATAAAAAAATTTTCACCCTTAAAATAACATAACACAATTTACTGAAAATTTTACATCATCAAATTAATGTAAAAAAATTCAAATTAACTCCTCAAACTAAATGTTGCCACCTTAAACATGGATCCAAGCGCATTTTGCTGATAGTTATTCTTAAAATCAAGACCGGAAAACAATCATTTATACAAGACACCATTATCATTTTTAATCTCTTGCTGTGATTCAGGATTTCCTATCACTCTTGTTTCAAAAATACTTGAGCTGTGTGAATGATACTTCACAACCATCTTCAACGACAACTCTAAATAGTCCACGGAGTGGTGGGTTCTCAAATTGTAATCCAAGACAAACATTTTGATGGATCCCTTATTTTTTCATGTAATAATCAAGACCAAATTTTGTGTACAATAAATAGGAAAATCTCCAACAAGAAAGTGTTTAGGCAATAAAAAACTTCTTATTTTAAAAATAATTTTATAGCCATTTGGGTGCTTAAATTTTTTTTAAAAAATTAACTAATTATTACTTACTACAAATGACATTTTGATGCAAATTAAGCACAGTTTTTTTTTTAGAACAAAACAATCCATTGCATTGTTAAGTTTCAAATGAAAACTATTTAATAATTGAGAGTTATGACAGCAAAATAGCACATGGTATTCTCATTCTAAGCTTTGTATTTATATTCCCAATATTTTACAAGCTTGGGCCAAATTTCACAGCAGACAAGTTGGTATGAATTACCAGATGGATTGAATTAGCAGAAAAAAGAAGAAAGAAAATATTCAAACTACCAATCCAGACATCTAATAAGTAGGCCTAATAATGTCTGGATTGGTTCTTTAAAAAAAAACACTTATTTGATAAAAAGTAGGCCTAATAAAAAATAAGTTTTTCTTATTAAACAGCACAAATATGACCACCAAAATAAATGAGTTTGAAGTGATTCATACATTCAAATATGTTTAACATTTGAACAATATTTTTTAACAACGTACAACTTGAAGAGGATATCTTCAAGTTATGTGATAACAAATAGGACAGGAAAGATGTGCCAAAAACTGTTTAAAAATGAAATTTAACAGATGCTTCACACTACTATCTTATCAGATAATGGGTATTTAAGAGCAAGGAAAAGTCTGACAGCTCTTTCCTTGTCATAAGTGGTTGGATGGTGAAAGAGTATGAATGGCACTGACAGGGGGATATCAGGGATTTACAGCATGCAAAATTTTGGAGACTTCCCTACACTGGCATAGAAAGGATGGAAAATTGGTGGCAGTCTGCCCAAGTCTGCACTTTTTTTTTCTATATAGTGAGGGGCAGCATTTAGCCAACTGCAGAGTAATTTGTGGCCTGCCACTAACTTCACAATGGATTTACATGATTTTGGAATGGATTAAGTTAAAAATGAAATGCAAATTAAATATGTATTTAATGTTTGTCACCAACTCTGAACAAACATCTCCTTCTCTAGTTTATCAAATTATTCAAAATATTTTTAGAACTTCTAAAGTTTTTGTGACATTAATTGCAGTAAAAAAAAAAATGTCTTTACCTATCTGATTCTTTTGGCTTGACCTGTTTGTCTCCCGCAGGCATGGTAGGAAAAGGCGGACATTTATATGATGTCCGTGGACGGAATGGAATTACTAAGGCTTCTTAAGTCGGTTACATCATTTTTTTTTTTTGAAGAATTGCACAGTTTCCTGTTAAATGTAAAAATACATAATTGTTTTGTAGTAGTGTCTAATTTGTTTGACGGAATGGAATTACTAAGGCTTCTTAAGTCGGTTACGTCATTTTTTTTTTTTGAAGAATTGCACAGTTTCCTGTTAAATGTAAAAATACATAATTGTTTTGTAGTAGTGTCTAATTTGTTCACCATTTGATAACCATCCTGGTTTCCCTTAAAGTTTGTAGCTATTGATTTTAGCTAGATTATTAATTTGAGCACAAAATAAATTTCAGGTCAAATATGAAAAATTTCTTTAGCAACTGTCATTGGAGTGCTTATTAGTACAACTCCAAGTTAAAAATCATTAACAGACTACAAATAGTGTAAGCAAAGATAGGATTTAGTTAAGACCATAACTTGTGCTTTGCATATTTTTCAAATGATTACAGATGAGCTAACAACTGTTTCCATTTGAAACCCCAGTTTTTTGTTGTTTGTCTTTCTCACTTTTTAAGAAGGATGATTGTTGAAGAAATTAAGTATTTTTAAAAGTAAATGTAAAATATGTTTAAATAGTCTTTCTTTTCCTTTGACAAATCTTTATAATAAATCTGACTGCTCCTGCTTTATAATTAACAGAAAAGATTTAGGGCCTGTAAACAGAATTCACTTATGATTAGTAGCTTGGACATACTGAGTACAAGTAGGCATATAAACACATATAGGTCTACAGAAGGCTACAGCACATGAAAAGCTCTTCTTTGTCAGGCCACTATTTTGGCAAAAGGCCATAAAAGCACCAATATGATCAATGGCTGTCACCTGTTCAGGAACTAAACTCCTCTTTTTATTGGCATTTATTGTTTCTCTTGAGAGTTAGACTAGAAAATGTGAAAATGATCATGTAACAGTTAAGAATATTTTATTATAGTAAAAATAATTAGGAATATCAGTAATTATTTTGAGTTTATGTCCACCAGTTAAGAAATTTATTTTAACATTATATCAAAATTTAAATTGATTATTACTGTTATTACCCCATTAAAGGAGTAATTAAACATTAGGTCTACTGTACTACACTATACTTTATTAGTAAACTAAATTATTTGTAGATCAGCCGTTGGAAACCTGAGAATCAGCACAGCATAAAGTTCTTTGAAAGAATAAATAGGTCTCTCATTTGATTATTAAAAAGTTAATTTTTTTACTTTGTATAATGCCATTTAAACCAAGGATTTGGAGCGGAGCTTAGGGATGGAGCTCGGAACTCTGGAGCAGTGTTTTTGCCTGGAGCTGGATCTAGTAAAATTTATTACTGCTAAGGGCTCTAAAAATTTTAATTAATTAATTTTTAAATTTAAAAAAAAGTATAATTTGTGTTTTAATTTTTAAAATTAATTTTATTAAAATTAATGCCCCACTTTTCTATCAGTCATGTTGCCCCATTCTTCTACAGCTATGTTGCCCCCACATCCTACAGCTAAGTTGCCCCGCTCTTCTACAGCTATCTTGCCCCACTCTTCTATCAGCTTTTTTGCCCCATCCTTCTAACAGCAATGTTGCTGGTACATGCATTTCTAATGTCTAGTTAATAAGATAGGGAAGTGACAATAATAAACACATTACTTTAAACACTTGGCACCCCCTTAACCACCCCTCAACTGGAGCTTGGTGCAGACCTGGAGCTAACACAAAGCTGTCTAGATGGAGTTCGGACAAAAAATCTGCTCTGAATCCCTGATTTCAACAATCTCCCCCTACCAGATTAGCAAATAGCCTTAAAATTAATTTAAAATAATTCTTCACTCAAAAGGTCTGATTTATTTAAATTGCCTGACTAATGAGATAATAGGAATGATGTGCAAATGTGACATAAAATAAATAAGAAACATTGGCCTACATTCACTTGACTTTGAGGAACCACATCATCATTGAATGTAGTCACAGAAACCTATCACCTTTGAATCATAAAACTGTCTTACAATTTCTAAAAGTAACTTAATTATAATCAGACAAACTGAAAATGGTGACATAGTCTTAAGCCTACACGAGTACTAACCCCTTTTACAAAATCATATCAACATTTCAATATGCTACAACCCAATTGTTATTTCTACTTAAGCCAGTTAAACCTAAAATGTCAATCAGTATTCTATAGACTGGTCAATACTCTTCACTCATTTAGGCCTATTGATTGGAATTTTATTGGAAAAGCCTGTGAATGATTGGACTTAGACTGAACTATACTATACTATTATAAATTACTTTATAGCTGTACTTTTTCAACCACCACCCCCTTGGCACCATAAACCAATCCCTAAAGTCCCCTGTGCCCCTCACGTAAAATTATTATTATTATTTATTATTTTTTTCAAGACAGTAGTTAGCACAACTCAGTAAGGAAGATATCAACACATTGAAATGTAAAAGCGTTATGTATAACTGAACTTTTAAATGAACTTGTTAAAAAAGGTTTTTACTTCAATTAGTTCAGCTATAAATTGATCAACTTGATCCATCAATACTACAGGTTTTTAATATAGGACTATTATTTTTCATTTGGTCATAGTAACTTACTTCAACATCACTCTAATATGATTACTCCATGCTTTGGATGGGCTAAGTAAAGTGATACGATTTGTTCAATTTCTGGTTCACGGTATTCTTAATTCAACACTTTCAGAAATATGGATTATATTTCTTTGCTTGGATTAAAGCAAGACAGAGCTTCGTAACTACTTTCCACAGTGCATAGTTCTGGTTCTGGTAGGGTACGTTGCTGAATCCATGTACTGGCATATGTGCAACGGTTGGGGAAGTGATGCTGGTATCCTAAGGGGTCCTAGCGGATGCCAGGGCAGTCTTGAAGCTCTTGACTGACGTTGAGTCCATGGCGGCATTGTCCTTGTGGTTCCAAGCGATTATTGTGCATGGGAAAAATGATTGTTTATTTTGGACTGTGTTACACCGAGGCACAGTGAAGCATTTACTATTGTTCCGGATGTAATTGTTAATGGGGTTGTTAGAGGTGAAGTCAGTGTTTAGTGAGCGTTTGGCTCTGATTAAGCAACCTGGCTTCTGTGGGGTGAGATACGTGTTTGCTGGGATGGCCGGCACCAGCCCCATGACCACTTTATATAGAAATGTTAGGCGGAGCTTTTCTTGTCTGTCTTTGAGGAAAGGGATGTCAAATCTTTTTAATAGGCCAGTGAAAAAGTCAGGAGTGGTGGATTTGTAGTCATGTGCGATGAAGCGCACTGTGTTACGTTGGATTCGCTCCATCTTGTCCACGTCTTGCTTTAGGTATGAGTCCCAAATGATCGCACCATATTCTAGCAGTGAATGGACGAGTGCAAGATTTGCATTTCGTTCGCAGGAGGTTGGCAGTGGCGCAGATTTCTTCGAATGAAACCTAGTGTGGAGTTGGCTTTTTTTTTAAACTTTGTTTATATGGGATGACCATTTTAGGTTATTTGAGAAGAGAATTCCAAGGCATGGATTATTTGATACTTGTTGGAGAATTTAGATGTTTAGGGAGTACTTATAGGTTGATGGTTTTTTCTTGAGATGCTCCTTATGTGGCATTTGGTTTAGTTAAATTTCATGTCCCTTTTCTCCACCAAATTCATAAGACACTTCAAATCTGCTTGGAGGCGGTTGTGGTCATTGTAGCCGTTTATCTCTCTGTAAAAAAGACAGTCATCTGTAAACAGCCTCACTTGAGATGACACAAATGTCATGAAAATGCCTCGGATTATTCTTTTTAGGATTATAAGCTGGTTCCCTACACAGCTAATGGCTTTTCTCCTCGCGGCTGGATAACCTAAGGAAAAATCATGTGGATGATGCAGCTTGGCACTAGTTGCGTCACAGGAATTGGCGGAATGTTTCATTGTGTCAATGTTATCTGCCTACGGGACTCCATCTCCAGGTTTTGAAATTAGAGTTTCCTTCTCTTTGATGAGTTGCCATCCAAGGCTAATGAGTCCCATCAACCATGAGTTTACCACACTCAGTAAACATAGTGACACCTCTGACTTATCATCTTGTTGCCCCCTTCTCTTCTAGGTCCGACAGGATTGAATATTAGCCAAAATTGCTTTTGAGCAGAGTTGACTTTGCTTTTAAAGTTAAATTTATTAATTCGGTTTTAATAAGATTGATATCATCCCCATCAAATGTTATTTCATTGCATCAAAATCTGCAAATATTTCTGACATTATGTTGTGTCTGATGACTTTGGGGTCAATACTGAGAGGAGAATTAGTTGTTTTTTTTAATTTTCACAATTTCAAATTTTTTCTAAATGTGACATACACACTTGCATTATGGAAGTCAATAAACTTTTAGTTTTAGCCGTCAGATGTTGGTGATAAGCAAGAGTAAATAAGACAGTGTTATGGTTTAATTTCATATTTCTGTGTCCAGTGACAGTGTAGAAAACTATATCGATGGCTTTTCTTTAAAGATTTTTGTATAGTATATTGATTATGCCATACTTAGTAGATATTTCTTGTCGTTAAGGTGTATTGTTTGACTGATATCTACTCATTACTCTTTTTCAAGGCCAATAATAATCCAACGATCATAAATCTTTTTTTTTTCAAATTGATTTTAAAAAGCTTTTCTAATGTAATCCACAACCATCCCCTTAAGTAGTCCCAATGCCCCCCCCCCCCACCCCCCAAATAAAAATAAATAATCTACAGCCCATTTTACCCCCCTCCAATCCTCATTTTTTTTTTCAAATTGATTTTAAAAAGCTTTTCTAATGTAATCCACAACCCTCCCCTTAAGTAGTCCCAATGCCCCCCCCCCCACCCCCCAAATAAAAATAAATAATCTACAGCCCATTTTACCCCCCTCCAATCCTCAGGGACACCTGAACGCCCACTTTGAGAACTGCAGCTCTATGACTATAGTTATAGTCATAGTATACCATAATAATAGTATAAAGCCTTTACTTAGAGTTAGTTATAGTTTAAAGTTTTACTTATTAATATTACTATTGACAAGGGCCTGATTTCTAATACATTTGAATTAGACTAGCCTATTCTTTATTAATATTATAATTCATATTGACATAGTCATTATTGCTATTGGATATTGCAATATATTAAAAGGGAGTAGTGTTTTCATCATAATATTTTTTAAAGTTAACTTCAATTTCAGATAAGGATAATTAAAATATAGGCCTAAAATAAAATAGACATGATTAACTTTGATTAAGACTGGCAGTACAAAAAGTAATAATTAGGGATTTTACTATTGAATTGTAAATTATACTAAATTGTGTTGTGTTTTTAGAGTCAGAGTCTTAAATGCCTTATTAATATTATTATCATTGGTACTTTTTGTAGGACCTTTGACCTTTGCTTTAATGATATAATTAAGATATATAATAAGCAATTGAGTTTACTGAATTGACAGAGACAGATTTTAATTTTGATTAGCACTGCTATAAATTATAGTAGTAATAGTTATAAAATTATAACTTATAAAGTGTATAATTATATTATAATTATTATTAGTAGTAATTAAATAATTATAATTATAATAGAAATTTACAAATTAGTAGGCTTAATATTAAAATATTAATGTAATAGTAATAACAATAAATTATATAATTATATAATATAATCTTAGTTATAGTAATAATAATATTAACAATATTATAAAATAAAGTAAAGTAAAGCCTCTAATTTTAAATTAGTATACTTAAGCTAACTAAGACTAAGACGTATTTCTGATTGTACATTCATAGTCTGTCATAGGGCTAGGGCATAATGAATGATAATGAAATGCCTATGCCTATTCAGAATTCACTCACACTTTGCTCCCACTGAATCTGTGTATGGTAAGCCCTGTGTCCTGTGTATATAATACACAGTGATAGTGATTTCAGTGATTAATCAGGTTAATTTAATAATAATAATAACCATTAATTTAGTTATTTAAAAGTTTAAGTTATTCCTTTAATTTAGATAAAATATAAAACTGAAGTGAAAAAAGATGCAAAAACACTGTATGATAGTTAACTCACTGATATTTATAACCCCAGTTCGCACTACAGAGGACCCTTTACTCGGTCTGATAAGTTGAATATGCAGAAGTTGCTCATTCATGCATAAAAGTATTTATCCCATTACTGTTCCAGGCAATGCATGTAAATATGTTCATTTGCTCTGTCACCAATGAAATCCACGGTTAGCTGAACAGTGAACCAATCAGAGAGAAGCTTACTTCTTGAGAGAGACATTCAATAAGTGCGTCAACAGCTGATCATGAATGAACATGATTTCGACTGAACGGGATCGAACAAGCGCTACGAAAAATTATCGGCCGCTTAGTATTACTTTGGGTTTTGTTTTCAGAGTAATGAGCAAAGCAGATGTCAAATGAAATTTATAAATATAATAATAGCTTTTCAATCTTCTAAATTCTAGGAATTTAGTAGTAGTAGTGCAGTGGTCAGTGGTAGTCTACTAATAATATTTAAATTAATTTTAAATAGGGCCTATAATTAATATTATATTATATTCATTTATTTTTAGTTTTAGCCTACGCCTACGATTACACCAAGCTAAATAAAGTTAAGTTTTTAAAGTCAAAATCAATTTTATTAATGCCCCAAAAACTCATCAAATCTGTTAAATACATTTTTTGTTTGAATTTGAAATGTAATCTTGTCGTCTATTACTATTACTACTATTAGCTTGAGTTGGAATAGACTATATATTTATTATAAATAGGCTATAATCTATATATGTATGCGGCTATTTGGACCCTAGTATCAGAAGTGAGTGATTGGGTTTAGGGGTCATCCATAAATGATGTCACGCAAATGTTGCCGATTTTAAAACCCCAACCTCATCGTCACAAAAGGCTTATCCCCCACCCCCCGATATAACGTCACAAATCTCTGCACCCCACCCCCTATAAAAATTCACTGTGTTAACCACTGTCCTTAACAAACCCTTAATTAAGAAATTCACCTCCCATGGATTTTCAAATTTAAAAAATTAATGCACCAGTGTCAAAACATTTCACTGGAACAGTGGTTCTTAACCAGTGGTAAAAGTACCTCCTCAGCCCTGGGGCCGTCCATAAAGTATGTCACGCTCCAGAAGGGGGGGGGGGGTTGTAAGAAAGTGTGACTTATGTGACAGGGGGGAGGGGGGTCATTTCTAATTTATTTTTTAGTAGAATTTAATAGGTTTAAAAATAATTTTCAAAAATTTTGTGAAACATTCGAATTAGTTTTATGTCAAAATAGCATGAAATGCGTATCTCCTGAATGTGTTGTTCACGATTCCTCTCGCTAGGAGCGCTAGTATGCTGTTGCGAAGCCTTGTTTTATGTATAGCCTTGCTTTCGTCATGCCTGAAGTATTATTATTTCTATTTTCTCCGCTGCATGATTATGTCACTGTCTTTTTTAATATTTAATCATTGGGTGAGGTCAAGTTTCGCTAATCTACTTCTAATCCTCTGTAAAAAGATTGGATAATTGGAAGATTATCTAAAACTTGACCTCACCTTTTGTAAATGAAAAAGCAGCAGATAAATTATGTGGGTTATATAATTTTCTAGACAAATTTTTGCAATTTTTGTTTTCAAATTCAATCTAGATCGAGTTACTGCTTCAATGAATAACTGTGACAACTGTTGACAATTAACTATTCTACTATTAAAGTCATTTTAATAATGTGATAGTTCTTTTAAGTGGAAATTTTATATTTTAATACAGTTTAATTGTGAAGTGTGTTTTAGATTAAATTTTAATTAGGTGTTCATTTTTTTTTTTAATTATTCGAAAGTGTGACGCACTTTAGGGGGGGGGGGGTCCCGAGATTTGTGACGGGGGGGGGGGGGGGGGGAAAAATTGTCAAAAATAGGGTGCGGCACTTTATGCCCCCCCCCCCCCCCCCTGAGGTGTGGAAGTCCAGAAAATTCAATTTATTTGCCATTGCTAGTAGTTGCTGCTTGGGAAAGAAGAAAAAAAAATCAGTTTGTATGCATTTTGATTAGCAGCAGTAAATGTTTTTCTGGTGAATTTCGTTTGCGCATCACTAAAGGGACCCAGGTACGCATAGCCGCTATTCGGACCCGGGTCCCTTTAGACTAAATGCTATTCGGATGTCATTTTTGTAGTTTATTTTAGTTAAACTGAAGAAGTAAGTTTACAACATATAGTCCATTCAATTATCTTTCATTTGATACCAAATTTTGTCAAACCCAACAATAATATTTTAAATATTTTTAATCCCACTTCTGATACCCGGGCCGGAATAGCCACTTCGATAATATCTTATGATAGCTAGCGCTCCACTCGACGACATCACTCGATCATCGATGTTATAGTTGCTTTTGTGTGTGTGTTTTAAATAGCGTATTAAGAAGCGTTGACAAGCAAAGCTTAACTTTAAGACTTATATTCAATTTTAATTTGGCTTGAAAATTAGTAAATTTTAAGTTCTATTTGCTTAGTAGAACGTGTTGCTTATATTTTGCAGCTCGGAACTCCAACCCCCCCCCCCCCCCCCCCCCCCCCCCCCCCCGCTTTCTTTAAGGAGCGTGATGTAAATGTAACTTTAAGGAGGACCGCATAATTCTATTTGCTAAAGGTTGTTCAAAGAGGACAGCAAACATAAGTACACAAGGCCTCCCATTAAGCAAATTAAGGGTGCTATAAATTATAGTATTTATATTCCGTCATTACTATAAAGATCATAGTCGGGACACACACAAGCCGTTGTGTCACTGTCACGTTATTCTATCCTGAGTCTAAAGCAGGCCTGCACAACATACGGCCCACGGGCCGCATGTGGCCCGCCAGCATCCACTTTGTGACATTTTCTTAATAGCTTTCCCCCCTGTCCTATTTTCTTTTGGCCCACACAAGTTTTTCATAAAGTAGTTACGCCCCCCCCCCTCCCACCCCTTTTACATTTTGAGTTGTGCAGGCCTGGTCTAGAGCATTACTGGTCTAGCGAACTTAACTAAGTTATCTCCTCCTGAAAACAATTGTATCGCACAGCAACAGTGAATAGGCCTACATGTCTACATGTCTAACGCAAGCTACCTCGCAACAATCTAACTTTAAACGACATTTATAATTAGCGAAAGAACAGCAAAGTATTATGTGGTATTGTTGCAGGGCCATTTTTTGGTGTTTTTGCAGCACTGGGCAAGAATTGAAACATGATTGACCTCCATCACTCACTCCTCTAGTAGAATTATTGCATAAGATATAAAAGATATTCATCATTAAAAAATAATTTTAAGCTTTTATATTTTTAATCTATTTAATTTTTTGTGTGCATAGTTTGATTTTAAAATTAAAAAATAAAAAAATTAACTAAAAACAGATTATCTTCTGCTTTACCATTGATTTCACATTCAGTGGTACCGGTACCCGGAACAGCGACATCTTAATAAACTGATGAAAAATGAAAGACATTTTTCTTCTCGTACCGGTATCCGGAAAATTATTTGAAAGAAATTTCGTTGACGGAAAATTGATCATTGATTATTTTTTGTTTTACTATATAGTATAGTACGTTCAAAAAGAAATTTTAAGAAAATTTTAATGTGTGAGCTGAAAAAATATTTGACCAAATTTCCGTTCTATATAATTTCCATCTATCAATTAATGTCGACGAAATTTATTTCAAACAAATTTTCGGTAACCATATTTTCTATATACAATACAACAATACAATCACACTGAATAACAAAACCATTGGAAACCATTGGTTAATTGCAACATTGTTTTATTTTCTATTAAAACAACCTGAGCAGATGGCAACCATTTAATACACGTACATCGTGCCAAGTTGAAGACTAAACTCATACACATGTACACATAAATCCCATACATACAGTAATCAAAACAACAATTTTAACTACTTTCCAGATGGGCATACAGCTTATTACATACCATATACTGAAAATAACATTCATATTCTTAAGATTAATTGCACCACAAAAGGATTGATTATTTACCGGGAATACATTGAGATAAAAATTAGCACAAACTATAAGTATAATATTGTTTCATACCCTAGTTAATGACAGAATTTAACAAATTTGGGCAAGTCGACTCACTATTTAACAATACACTGAAGCATTCCAAACATCTCATCTGTTTATATATTGTACTTTTTGCCTAGGATAATATTTTCAAACCACAACCTTTATACAAAACACCCTAATACTTAAAAACAAATTATTATAGAGGACTGTTCAAGTTCATTAAAAGAGGATGATCTAAAGAAGCAGAGGTAAACATACAACCAATGTAAGCATGGGTTCCCCACACAGGATGGCTGATCACTTTACAACAGCCAAGATCATGAATTTCAAAGCCAAGCTTCCTGTAACGCTCATCAGTCTCAAACAGAGTGAAGTTTGTGTGAGAGCTGTTAAACTGTGACCGAAAAAAAAAAATCATAAATTTTTTGATCACTTACAATATTGACGGAGTAAATGTGTCCTATTATGTTAAATTTTCACAAAGATTATTTTTACAACATTTGAAGTAATTGTACCATTGTATGCCATGTACTGTTGAAAAAACCACCCAAAATAAGAAACACTCACAGGCTTTCCAGATGAGGGGTCAATGAAATCAGCCCAGAAGCCTGACTTTTCAAAAGCTTGACAAATACCTGCAGCTCCTTGAATAAACTAGTTTCATTGAAAGTTAAAAAAAAAAATTTCCATAATGTGGTCTGCATTCTTAATTGTGTGGGGGCCATCAATATATTATGTGTGTCCCAAGGGTGAGGGTGAATTGTTAATTTAGGAGATTATACATATGGGTGCTGGGTGGGAGTCAGCAACAATGTGTAAATACACTTTTGCACAGTTATATTTAGCCAAGTGACACATTTAAATCCAAAGTATTTTTTGTTTGAGGGGGGAGGGGGTTTTGATTTGTACGTTTGCAAGGGGGTGTCTAGAAATGTACGGTTACAACAGGGGGCATGGGGATAAAAATTTGACTTCTTTCCATATGTAATATATGGATGGCCCCGAACCAAATTAATACCTTTCTCTTTGCTTCTTCAAGCCACATACTAATATTAAAAGACACACACATAAAGTATAAATAATTTTTAAAAAAAAACAGCTGTATTGGAGATCAAACAAATCAATCAACCTTTCAGCTTAAGGTCTTCTTCAGAGGATGAAATAAATATATGATTACCGGTATAATAATTAATATACTTATCCCTACTTCAATTGTAGAAAATCAACATATACACACATATATTTATTAGATATTAAGTTACGTCTCCTACAAATATCTAAGCATTCCCTCAAGTATTTTAGGCAATTTTACATACCATTTCTAGTAATTCTTCCCGTTCTTGCTCCACTTCTGATGACCAAGTAGTCATGTCATTTTTTGTCTTCAAGCTGATGGTTATCACTGTAAGCTCACCTTCCATAATATTTCTCTGAGGGAAGAGGTCTTTGAATTCTATGCAAATAAGGATTGGATAGATACAAATACAATTGTCATTAAATTTAAGAATTTGCCTGTTCTATTAAAATCCATGCAAATTTTTATCTTTAAATCAATAAAATTATTTATTTTTAAATTAATAAAAATATTTATTTTTAAAAATTAGTTTGAATAAATATCTAACTTCATTTTTCAGTATCAGTATAGTATGAAATAATTTTTTTTAATTCTGCACATACATGGCCATCACAGATGGAAATTCTAAAATTACTATAATTCTTGGTTGACAAGTTTTGATTATTCTTTATGAAGGGATTGTAATCGATTTAAAAAAAAATAATAATCCAATGATTCAGATTAAATTAAATTTTAAGGTTCAGCAACTCTCCAACTCTTTTTCTTTAGCATAACCTTTGTGTAACCTCCTAACCTCTTCTGTTTATTCAGAATGGTACATACAAAGTAATATATTTAATGTACCAATATAATTTAGTTATATTAAAAACAGTGAGTTGAAACATACACAGAAAACATATCTAAAATACATAACTTGAAGATCATTGAGTCACATCTATTGCATCTTATTGAATACCTTTTCTTAATAGTGCAGGACATTTATGTGCTCTGTATTCCATTCTGTCAATGGATGTTGGGATTGAAATGTCTCTATCCACAAAATCAACATCAATCTGTAGAAATAATTAGAGTGTTACAAATTAAATGGGCTTATCATGGAATTCAATGTGTAAAAGTAATGATTACTATTATAAATTGATCAATCTCAGAAAATTGATAACTGATCCAAGAATGGTCCTGTTGATAGCAGTGGTGGACTGGAGTGTCCAATGAGCTTGAAAAAAATTAAAGATTTAATACATTTAATAATTTAAGTTTTAGTGTACCCGTTAATGTAGAAGCTTGCCAGGCAGCCCTTACATCCCCGGCCCTGACAAGCCCAGTCCACCCCATATTGCAAATGAGGGCAATAATTAAATTTTAACACAAAATAAGGCAGTTTTTGAAGATTTTAAATATTTGCAAACTCTTTAAAGCACATAAAAATACATAATTTGTCATAATATATAAAATTAACAGTTAGCATTAGTCTAAGGCAATGCAGGTGACTAATCTATAGATTTTAATAAAAAAAGTAATTGTCATTTTCTCAAGCTTAAATTTAGCTGTGAATATTTTCATACACAAGGAACAGGTGGACCATCAAAAACACTCCTTATTGCAGGATCATCCCATAAAAAAAAAAACTGCTTTCGTATGTAAATGTCATTTTTAACTTGCCCTTTTCCCTAACTACTAGTTTTAGTCCACTAGATTTCATTATACATAGTTACTTTTATTACAATAGTACAACGTGAATAGGGGTCAACATAACGATTAAAAAATCATACCTTCAGAAAAAAATATTTATAGTGCTGTTTTGTTCTTTTAAAAAGAGTAGGCTAATGACTTAACACTCCACAATATTCAAACAGATTGGTAATACCCCATAACTGTCAACATCCTTTATATCTTGACATTATTTTAAGAATTACTTCCCTTGCTTTGGCAATACCTCCTGTAGAATGTGATGGTAATTCCAAAGTGCCAGATTCAAGTGATTGATGGGATTTGTAGCTAACATCGGCCCTTAGATTTATCTAACTTTATAATTTTAGAGGAATACTTAATAAATATTTAATAATACATTTAAAAATGAAGCCACCATTTATTTATCATTTCAAATGAAAATAAAATGTTCACTAAGCCACTGACCACTTGTCCACTGCCTATGATAATACTGGACATGACATGTCATGAGACAATGATGAAGCCAAATTAAAAATGAAAATGTTAACCTCACATTAATTTTCCAACTAGTAAAAAGAATGTGAACATCGTTCATAAGATATGGTATTTTTTCACGCTGTATGCCCATTTGGAAAGCAGTTAAAATTGTTGTTTTGATTACTGTATGTATGGGATATATGTGTACATGTGTATGAGTTTAGTCTTCAAGTATTTTTAAATTTCACCAAGCATACTCATTCAAACTGCACTTTTTTCTGGAATGCCTTTTGCATAAAATTAAAATTAATAAAAGGCAGGCCTCTACATTATTTTAGATAAGTTGTGTTTTAAATTTATTTGTTATAAAAACCCATAATTTATTTCTTCCTTCAAGTGAAACTGAGTAAACACATTTAATTTATTATTTAAATTTAACGATATAGAGCAGGGGTGGCCAGACCTGTAGTAACTGAGAGCCATTTTTAAAATAAAAAAAATTGTTGAGAGCCACATTGAAGCACTATGGGTCACGACCCCACTCGCAATGAAAAATTCCTTTTGTGATTTATTTTTAAAAATTACATTTTATTCGAATTTAATGATTTAAATATTTCAATTGTTTTAAACCTAACCGTATGTTGAAGAAATAGATGCGTTACAGCCAATCCCAAATTATTTTCAACCCTTTGTTTCAGTAAAGATTTTTTTTTAAACTTTCATTTATTTTTTATATACGGTATATTTCAAACGAAAAGTTTTAATTTCATAAATTGTTCGCAAGTCGCAATGTGAGCACAGAAGAGCCGCATGCGGTTGATATAGAGTATGGCAATTATTCCTGGGTAATGCCATTTAATTTTTAAAAATAGCAACATATTAGTATAGAATATAACATTATCGGACTATCAATACTAATAACCTTATATTTGAATGAAGTTTGAGACTTTGCTAATCAAGGTTAAGATTACTTTACGTATGAAAATTGCTGGAAAATGGAGAAAAAACTCAATGGGAGGATAAATTAACTGTTAATTTAATTTTGAATATAACACAAAGACACATTGCAGACACTTGTTCTTGAATTTAATTTAACTATTAACTGCTTGCGAGCATTTTATTTTCAAAGCATCTCCAAATACACATACAGTGGTGACTATTTACAATTTTATAAATAATGTATAAAAATTGTGAGTGGTTAAAAAATTATTCATCCATCCCTGTAGCCCTGTAGTCCATGTAGGGTTTTGGCCTGCCTCACCACTTCCTTCCACTCAGACCTGACTTAACTGATGCTTTTCTTTTCGATACCTTCTTACATCTAGTATGTCTGATCCATGCCTCAAATTGACTAGAGCATTGTCAATTTTGTTAGGATTCTATCTGGTGAGGTCCAAGTAACTTTATGTACCAGTATATTTTTGTGCGGAAACTTGGTCCTCAGACCACTATGACCTCCCGTGCCACCCCTGGGGAAAAACATGATCCTATCTTTTGAGTCTGTGCAAATAGGGGAGAATCTTCACTGGTACCTTGCGGAAGGATTCCTCATAGTTACAGAACACTCAGATCTTAACAGTGTTTATTGCTAAGTGGTAGTGGGCACTCCTAGCCCCTACATAAACACTGCATCACAAGTACTATGCTAGTAACAGAAACGGCTGCCTAGGAGACCAGCCCTGCTCGGGGGCCGGTGGGTGATTTTTCATCATTGATATCCCTTTGTTATCTATGCTCCTTTAGCGACAGCTGTGATCATTTTTATCTGACCTTCTGTATCTTTGGTGGGAGCATGAACATTTATAAATGTTATGTCAAACATTTTTCCTCACACACCTACATAGCATAATCATTTATTCTCTTGCTTAAAACCTATGACTGCACTGAATGCTTCTTTCTTCACAGTAAATCATGCTCCAAGAGTGTTTGGTGTTATTACCACTATAAAATATAGTCTAGTCTTTTGTCCTGAGGATGTCTGCATTTTTCCATCAAATTTCTTGTACTGCAGCAATAGAGATGCTATATTTAATAAGTTGTTCTATTAGGAGGCTAAGGCTCCTGTTTTTAACAAGCTTAGTACCTTCCAAGTTCAAATCCTAAAATCATGTCCATATCCAGGCATAGGTTTATTTCCATTAGAATCAGTCCGGGTTTTATTTTGTTAGCCTTGCGCACAACCCTCAGGGGGGGCTGCCCCTCAAAGCTCTCTAGGTAGCTGCCTTTCTTTTTGGGTAAGGTTCCCTAGCCTTTGAGGAACCCTCCACTTCGTACATAACAGCAGGTTCTCATTTTGGTCCACCAGGGCATTTTATTTCCCCAGGTACCTGCTATATCTAGTGGGCTTTCCTCTATCTGCCACCTGGGGAGGCGCTCGATGGAAGATCAGTATCTCTGCACAAGGGTTTAAAAATTAATTATACCTCAATTTTCTAGCATAAAGTTAACCAATTTAGTTTCCCTATTTTTTCATTTACATTATGACAGTGATTAATTACTTTCAATTGGAGAACATTCATAATGTCATAATAAAGTTAGTCTTTCTGTAGTAATCCCCTTAAGATTAATTTGTTCATTTATACAGTCTGATTCTGGGGCAGACAAAAATTTACTTTATTTGAGCCATAATCTAAAAAGAATGATTTTTTTTTTTAAACTGACCCATAACATGCTCGTTACTAATATAAACAGAGGAGAGTTAGACTAAAAGTACACCATAAATTTACTAGATACAGCAGTCAATATTTTTCCTTCTTCTGCAATACACTTTGAATGCCAAACTTTTCATACTGCACGCTTTAAAGCTTGATATCAAAGGTGTTGACTAATTTAATGAATTTATAATTGCAACAAGTGAACTTTTTCATAATGTGTACCTCATCGATTGATGTTAAAAACTGTTCAGCTATATCACTGTGTCGTTGGAATGAAGCCGCTGGTAATATAGCATCAAGTTCGGCGAGTGAAGGCACCACCTCTTTGGTATTTATTTGACTTATTTCTCTTGAATTAACACAGGGTCCTATTCTGCCTGGGAGAGGAAATCTTTTATCTTGTGGTCCCAAGGGACCTAACAGTTTATCTGGCCACACTGTTCGAGATTCTAGATAGAAAATATAATTTAATTACCATTTAGCATGAATGTAATTTACTAGTGTATTGAAGCAAGAAAAAATCATTAAACAAGGGCCTTGTCACAAGGCCTTCTTAAACTTTAATACTAAGGACCACCTCTTCATTACAACTTTTTTGGAATGCATCCCAATTTTATAAATTCTTACTATAAATATGATGAATAAAGTTTTTTAAGTACCAACTTTCTATAATCAATATATATAATTCTCCAGGTTTGAAAGAAAGTATGGTGTAATGGTGAGTTCAAGAGCACGTAAAATAAAATTCCAGATAACTGCACTAATGAGATTCTTATTATACCGCCAGTGCAAGTGCATGTAATGTGTAATATTTTCGTTTGTTTTTTGAGAATTGAAATAGTCTCAATATGGCGCAATAAATCTTCAGTGTAAAAGGGGTCAGGACATCAGAATATTAATATAGTTTAGGGGCATGCAAAAAGTGTGCAGTGTCATACCTTAGGGGAGGGGGTGTAGTGCTAATTAGGAATCTTAAAAAGTGTGTTATTTAAGTGCATGTTTTGTCAAGTAACTTAAGTAGATGGGAAGTTCTCCAACTGCAACCGCCATTGTTTGGTGGGCTAAAACTAGTAATTAAAATAAAAAGTGAAGAATTATTTCTAATCTGCACTTTTTTAAAATGCTATCTATTTATCACACATATGCTGCCATTTTACTTTTTTTTTTTTCCAGATTAAAAAAATTATACCGACACACATTGGCAGTCAATAAAACGAAAAACCATCTAATTCTGATGGTTTTAACAGTTATTTAGAAACTAAATCAAAATATATACATGTATCCACATCTCTCACAAGAAGTTGAAAGAATGTTGGTTGAAATAAAACACACACTAATATTAACAAAAATTTGCACAACCCCAAATTAGCTTGACAAACCTTAGTTTTAAAAACCAAATGGAAAAAAAAAAATAATTATTATTATAAATGATACATGACAGCTTGAGGAACAATTTAGTAAGGCATAACATAAGCTTGCTATTTATAAAATTACATTAATTAGCTTATGGGATCAAATAATATGGGTACAGCTATCACCACTGACTTTTAATGGGTATTTCATATAGTGAAACTTTTATTTTGAAAAAATGTAAGCTGAATTTAAACAAATACAATTTTTGAAGCATGCATACATTAATGTGGCAAGTGACTCATATAAATTATCAGAGTTACTACTTTTAAATCCAGGTAGTTTTGTATTTGCATTACATTAACTATGTAACAAAAAAAAAAACTTACTATGGAAAACCATTTAATCTTCAACTTAAACATCTAACAAGCACAAGACATCCAATCAATACTAACTTGTAGAGTCTTCAGTCAAATTGTGTGTGTAGTTGTCTATAGAATCTGAAGCTGATGAGAAAGCTCGACATCTAATAAGAGCTGTTCGAAGGCTAGGTAAATATCTCACTATTCTAGTACATTTTACAAGCTGCAAAGCAAGTCAAAGGAAAAGTGTTGCAACATCCATTATTAATCATAATTGAGGACAGGAGTGGAAAACAATTTTTACACAAATAAATGTTTCAATCAAGTGTATGTGCATAGTATGCAATATATTTGTATACCTTTTATTTCTTTGTAAGCCTATTTTTAGCACTGTGGCAACTACCACTTGTCTCCCCTTTGTTTTGTTTTGATTTTGACGTCACTGAAGAAATGTGCTTTGCCACTCCTTTTACCCACCGCTCCCTTAATTGGGAAAAGGTTGTTTACGATCTATTTCTTATAAAGAATGCTAGCAGGTGACGCAATTTCTAGAATTTCTTAACTAGATGATTCTGATTTAATCCTTATATATAGGCCCCGCAGCTTTACTAGCAGGGGGAGATTTTTGCTAATTTTCATAAATATTTACGAGACATTATATAATTGCATTATTGTACTCTTTATGTGTATGTGTGTAAATTAATATTTGTATTTTTCGAGGATTGTACCTTTTCATTTTCTGTCCTGTAAGTTAATACATTTTTTTTGTTTCTGAATATTTGAATTTGAATTTGTATTTTATAGAAATTTAGTAGTATGATTTAATTGACTATTGCTAGTATCAGTAGCTTTGTATGACCAATTCTCTCCCCTTAGTATAGCCTTGATATTGATGTCACCAAGTAAATGTGCTGTGTCGTTCCTTCCTTCCTTCCTTGGCTGGGAAAATGTTGCTTACATTCCAATGCTTTCTATTTATTCTAATTTAAGAATGCCATTAAGTGACGGAATTTCTAGTAACAGTACCCTGTTGCTTTCACTTGCAAATGATTTTATGGGTTTGTCTTATGAGCAGATCATGCACTTTTCATGCTTTTCTCTGCCAAATATTGGGGGTTCAGCTTACGAATGAATGATCTTAAAAACGAGTATATCAGGTAAATTGAATCAGCCTTAAAGTGCAGATAAAGCAAGGTACATTTATATTTTTAAATAATTTATTAAAAGCTAATGCCTGTTGGTTATCAAGGCTCCATGGATATATCATTTATAAACATTAAAACATTAAACATTAAATACAAAGTGGAAAATTAATCAATTTTAAAACTTCTCTTTAAAGGCATATCATTTTCAAAATGATTATGTTAACATCACATAGATCTTCATAAGTGAAAGCTATACATCAGTAGAAATCAATTGAAACTTGAAATGAACTAAATTGCAGTAGATTTTTTTTTTTATGACAATGGTTAGGGTAATATATAAGTGTTTAAAATTTTTAAATTGATTTTGTTTGTTTGGTCCACCTTTATTTTGTACTTAACCAGACTTACACACATACAGTGATGGAACCATACAAAAATTAAAGGGTTTAACGATTTTTTTCATTGTGAAAAGAAAATTGTGTCAACCATGGTCAGCCACATAATACATATTCTAAAAAGTGCATACTGTATAGGACATGTGAATAGTTTTTAACCCCCTCAGATCTGTCAACAATTGGATAAATGTTTGTTAAAACAAAAGAAAAATGGTTCATTAATCCCAAACCTGTTAGCAGACTGAAAGCAGAGCAAAATATTTCCTGAGTGAAAGTTTTTAAAAAAATAATTAAAGTTATAATGTTTGATAAGGAAAAGATTTTAGGGTAACACAAAAATCATACGAACACATACTTTTGTAGCCATTACAATGTCAATCAAAGAAAATCTTTTAGGTGATCTGGAGAATAGAAACAGATAACATATTTCACTTAAATTATAGCAAAATTAGACAATAAAAAAAAAGTTTTAGTAGTGTAATAAAAATATGGGGTAGTTAAATTCCATGCATAACGTTGTAATAGCAATCAACTACAACTACAAAACATATATGAAAGATTTGTTAAGTTAAATGATTTTTATAAAATGCTTAACAGTGTGAAAAACATTTTTTTTTCCTGCATCCACAGCCATTTTTGGACAAATGTGTCTAAAAATGAAAGTGTCACTCATTGTACAATGATATAATATTCTGGGTCACAACCTGTCCACAACCAATGAAGCCATGAGGGATAACTGCTATGAATTTTTAATCGTCTGTCATTGCTTAACGGTTTATTGGTGTGAGCAGTGGTCCATTAAGGAAACGTAGACTAGATAGCCTTATTTGGAGTACCATAGCAAAGACATTAAATCTAATATAAAAGCTTTTATCAGGCAAAACAGATTTTGAACTGTATTGGCACAAGATGCTCCTTATTTTTTGTAAAGAATCAGCCTTCCTTCATAAAATTTTCTGACAACTATTTTTTTTTACTGATTTAAATGATGATTAATGTAATTTCTTTTTACAAGTTCAAAACAAGTTTTGTACACAAGGGGACATGCTACACCATGTTAAAACAATGAGTGTCAAATAAAATATCAATTAAAAGTTCTCCATAGCATAAGTTCAATGGAGAGAATAAAATTATAATTATATTAAGGGTAATAGTAATAGTTAAGTTAAAGTGCAAAATTCATGAAGACGTGCCCATCTTTGACATCCCCTCCCACCCTCAGTTAGACATCCAAAAACGACCTAGCCTCCAAGCAAACCACAATACCTAAAGTCTATACCTTTTGGCCTTTTATTTAAAAAAAAATTCCAATCCCTAATATACAATTTACAATCCCTAAATGGAATAAACAAAGATGAAAATTACTGATGGATGAGACATGATTCTTGCCTTTCTATAAAAAGAGTGAAGCTTCAAATCAGGTTTTTGATATGACTGAAAGGTCTACAGCTGATCTGACATCATGGAAATGATAGGTCAGAATTAGTTCACCTTGATAATAATAAATTCAAATTTAAAATTATGCACAACACAAATTTCTTCAGAGTTAAAAAAAAATCCACAATTCAATGGAACTTTTTTAAACACATAGTACTTATTGTATATTTTGCTGAAGACATTGTATAGATACTAACTATAAGGGCTAAATAATTTAAGGTAATGCTATTAAAATTAAAATAACTAATGTAAAATGTTATTTTCAACATTAAAATGGTGTATTTGTTTTGTCTCATCTGATATGTCTCGGGAGAATAAAAGCCCTACAAGTTTTCAAAGAATGCTATAATGCAATTAAGAAACTAGTGCTGCACTTTTTACAGGTCTCATCAAAATGTGTTAGTCTGTTAAATTCATTCACTAAAATGCTATAGCCAGGCAAACCATTTGGTAGGTAATATCATATTTTAGAGTCATAAATAAACTCAACGCAGATAACCAACTTTTTAAAATTATGAACTTGTTTTCTCTCCTTCTGAAGTGACCAGTAATAAAAAAAACATTGTCAGTAGGAGACAAAAATTCCAGCATATGATTATTATTTTTTTTATAAATTTTTATTTGAGGTAAAATAATTAATCATTGATTAATTGCTGTCCTCGGGATGCTGATATTATCTTTCTTAAGAATACCTCAAAGACATTTAAACCACAAATGTTGCAGGAAATGAGAAAATATGGCTAGTTCTAGCACCGAGACTTAATTTTTTTTATCTAGTACCGGGTAATAGTTTGTTTCATCCTCAACATGAATTTGTTCCATCCTCAACATGAATTTGTTCCACAATAACCCAAACACAACAGTGAGGGAAATGACAGCACAAATCTCAGTGGAGAAAGAAATGAGTAAAGGAAGGTGGAGATGAATAGGTTATTCCATGAGAAAACCAATGCCGAATATAACTTGGCTAGCATTGATTTGGAACCCTCAAGGATTAAGAGGGGCCAGTAAGATCCTAAAAACACCTGACAAAGAGAGGTTGACAAGGATATAATAAAAATTGAAAAGAGTTGGAAAGAGTAAAAGAAAATAGCAAGAGACCGGAAGGCTTGGACAGAAATTGTTAAAGGCCTATTCTCCTCAAGGAGTTGAAAAGGGAAAGAAGACAAAGAATACAATTTGTTTAATTGTTTCTGTACAGAAAGAAAGCTTTTAATAGCAAAATATGGGCAGTTCTCGATTTGCATACATTTAATTTACCTACGTTGCTAAATGTAAGAGAACATGTTACTTAAGCATATGACATGGATTTTTCACACGACAGTAACACTTGTTCACATGGCACGATGGTGTAGCGATTTGAAGGAAAAGAATAGAAACAAGAGAAAAAGGAACTACGTTTATAGCGTGGGGAGAATTCATGTTTTTGAGTAGAGGTGAACAATATAATTTTAATGGAGGAGGTTGACATGTATTTTTCCGATTGATTTACTGAACTAATAATTAGATAAAGTATTGTACATGTATGGATACATATTTTTAGTATTGCAATTATAGTTGTTCTAACAATTCTGATGTCAAGTAACCATGTGATGTATTTATCAAATATCTTAATAAAGTACAGTGTATATTCATTGGACCTTATTACTTCTTGACAAGAAAGTGACAGTCATTTGTAATAAATGTGAATGAGATAGTTATATTGGCAAGTCATCACTTGCACTGAGGAATTACAATACATTAGCTAAAGTTTACAAGTAACAACACTAAATTATAAACGTTACAATTAAAACATTAAACTAAAAATATTGCATTCCTTCTAAATATGTGCCCACCAATGTTCTCTCTAAGGTTTGCTGGTTCGTGTGCAAAATTATACAGTTGTGTGCAAAGTTTTACAGCATCAATTTTTTTGTGTGCAAAATTTTACAGCCCACAAACACACATTTACATGGAAATTTGCTGCGCGGATACTCAAAACTGCTGCGCGGTGTCTGTGAGTTAGCTGCGCAGCCACATAGCCGCGCAGCTTAAAGGGAACATTAGTGCCCACCCCTTATTATCACCCATTAACTGTATATTTGGAAAATTGTAAAAAATATGGCATTAGTTTCAAAGAAAATTGTATCCAATATTCTCCTCTTTCCAACTTGAGTGAGTTTTGAGTTATGGGTATACTTATGTAAAGGTGTCCACAATGTGTCAAACATAACTATAACACGTATTTATTTATTTTGAAAGAAAATCTAAAACCTATTTTTCAAGTCTGTAATATCATGGGATTTAAAAAAAGTATCGTTTTCGCATAAAAATGAAAGCATCCTCAGTCCTCCATTGAAATGTGTTGGTGGTAGAAAGCTAAATACATTATTTCATTAGTTTTAAAACTATATATATACCAATAGCCAGTGTGTAACCAATTTGAACTTTGCTACATTGCTATACTCATAAAATGCATCCACCCATTCTGCATCTTCTGCTGCCTTGTGAAAAATATTTTATTATTAAAGTTTATTTAGTAACACCCTAAGTAGCTGCCGTCAGGCACACTTAGATTAACCTTAAACTATATACCAGTACTCTACTGTCCCAACCGCCTTTGACCATGCCATCTAATTCATTTTCTATTTTAAAAAATAGTTCATCGCCTTTTTCTGTATATTTAAAGGATATGGTTATCTATTTTTAAATTTAAATCTATACCAAAGTTCAATTTGTAACAAAATCAGGTTTTGAGATACTGATATTAAAAGTACCACCCCCATCACCCCCTTTTACCGAAATTTCATCAGGTAATGAAATGTAAAAACATAAAATGGTAAAATGAACAGGTCAAAAATTTATTATAAATTATATATATACTAATTTTCTTGAACATTGAAGAATATTGCTTGATAAACATTTTGTTATTTTAACTATTTTTTTACGTAAGTATCATTTATTTCCTTAATAAATGTAATAATTTCCAAATTGTTTTTTTTTTTTAAACTCTGCTTTAGGCTCTTTGTGCGTATTCCTCAATGCCTGATCTAGTTAAGAATTATCTAAAAAATTATAATTAATTAACCACCAAGAATTTAGTCATAACTTCAAAAGGGAGCTCGCTCTATATATTTGGTTGCTATTTATAAAACAATGTTAACAATGTGAGTTTTTTCTCAGGTTGAATTTAATCCAATAATTTATACGAAGGGGCCAACCATTTATAATGTACACAAAAAAGTCCCATCTTGCATTTCTTGGTGTATCCATCCGTTTAGAGCATTCCCCTCTTATTTGTAAGTATTATTATTATAATTATTATAAGAGGTTTTATATAGCATGGTACACCATGAGCTTTCAGCCTCCCCCTTCAATAATGACGTACAATACAATATGTAAAGTGAAGTCAAGTCCCAATGTATTCCAGTGTTTCCTAACTATGTGTTCACTATTCCGTTGGTTCAGTTGTCTTGTGTTTGGATTTCTTATGATCAATTGTGGTGGGTTTAATTGTAACCCAGCGGACACACACCACCAAGGTTATGAAGCATTGATGATCAGAAATCTGCGCAGTAGTGCGACCGTAAACACATATACAGGGAACCTGTGGTGACCGCGCCTTCCTAAGGCCGTGGAGAACATGTCGCTCCCACTATGCCAGTGTTTCACCATTAGGTCAATGTAAAAAAGAATGACTTCGTCTTTGAAAGCAGATGACCAGGGAAACAGTGCCCAGCAAATGATGGGAAGTGTGAGACTCGGCTACGTAATAGAATTCCACCAACATCAGAAAGCGACTAATGTCCAAGCGTTATTTGATGTGTCACGTGACCTCGTAAGGAGAGGACCAGGGAGACATTATGAGGGGACCAGGGATTATGTTATGAAGTGTAAATGAATGTCTCAGTGGCATAGCAAGGGTTAGATCCACCTGGGGCGGCCCCATACTTCTGCTACCCACTACCATGAAATAAAACAAAAACTTTTCAGCTGGCCAAATATGCCATCCCTCCATAAAAAAAAAGGTCCGCCTGGGGTGGACCATCCCCTCTGCAAACCCATTCCTACACAGATGGAATAACTTTTTTTTGGCAGTTGTGAGTCACCTCATATTAGGCAAAAAAGTTGTTTAAGTGGTCTGTGGTTGATCAACTCTAATTTATAATTTGCTTTAAGCAAAAAGAGAGACGTTAGTGATTTCATATTATTGGACGGCCTCGTTTTGCTTCATTAATAATCTGTTATTGTGTTCACTTCCCTATTACCATATATTTCATTATGTGTCTGCTTTTCGTCTCTTTGTAAATCAACAACTATTTATTGACAATGAAATCGTCGCATATTTGTAACAAAAATTAGACGCTTTTAACAAAAATTATCCCACATGACCCCCCACTCCACATACACACACAAAATATGGATGCCTTACATCATTAATGGATGTTGGACCGTGTGAAAAAAAGCGGTGCCATGGGCAAAGCCTGAAACCTCACACCCTAGTATATAGAAAATGTGCCCCTTGATATTGACGCCCCTGACAAGTAAAACCTTCACATGTCCCTGCATGGATATCTCCCAGTTTCCAAGATGCCTAGAACATGAGAGACTTAAATATTTAAACTTGTCAAACCCACCACTGGTTTAGAAAGAAATATGGACACCTAGACATTTTTTAAATAAAGTAATACAAAAAATAATAAATACAACCTTTATTTAAATCTAGATACATCCAATTGAGCAACAACAAAAATCCTATCTTTGAAGACAGTAGGCTAGTAGAGTTCTCTTTGCCATGCCTTACCACAATAAATGGCCCCGAGAATGACAAAAGATTCATGAAATGTAGGCTACTTTCTTTTATCTCCTAAAATTTTGTTAATGGTTGTTGCAACAGTGTTCAGACAAAAAGACGGTACCGGGGTATTTTATTTTAAAATAATTTAAATCATGAATTAAGTTGATTACTTAATAAAAAATTTAATTAGGGAATTTTAATGCGCTAAATTAAGAAATTACCTTTAATTTATGTGGGCCTCCTTTAATTTTATGGATAACCCCTGATGAAAACATGATCATTAAATTTGATTAGATTTTCATTTTGTAATTTTTGAACTTGACTTTGAGTGAGTCTAAGTTTTGACCTGCCTCAAAAAAAAAAAGCATTTTCTAACTAACAATGACAACACTTGGGGGGGGGGTGTCTTGTCATAAGTAATTCAACTTATTTAATTTAGTCAAAACTGGAAAGTCAATGTCAATGTTGAGTGTGACAGTATCATCTGGGTATCAATGAATTCAATGTCAAACGCTCACACTTAGACGAAGTTAACTAACATTAAGTAATCAGTTAAGTCAGGTTCAAAGAGCCTTTGTACTTTGTAAGAGTAAGAGTCAATCATTGAGTAGACTTGGTCGACTTTGACTTAGTAAGCTCTAAGTTAGTAACTTAGTTCACTTCTTAGTCTTAGTGACTTATTTTAGGAATTTCTAATAGGAAGATGGTTAAGGCTAAGGCTCGGATTAAGTCCCGTATTTCGAATTACTAGTTTCAACAGAGAGATAATATCAAATAATTCTTAACAAACCTCAAACATCGCACAACTTCTAATAAAAATTTGATAAAAGAGTTTGTAGCTTTGTCATGAATGGTTTCGCCAAATGCCTCTAAGTTCACTTTCTTTATTTCTCAACATAGAAGTCTACTTCAAGACTTGACCCGGATATAAATATATTTTGGGAAAATACGGTGGGAATTAAAATAGTTTTTTTTCTCTTTTTTTTTTTTTATTTTTTATCCCTCTTAATATTCTATTTGTCATGATCGTTGTCCGTTTAATGATTTTTGTTAGTCTGTTTCAGCACTATTTCAAAACCATTTTAACCCATAATTATCTCTTATTCTTAGAATAATGAACAATCTAGAAAGTCCCAATTTGTTTGGTAACTTAATGTCGTTTTGGATTTTAAATTGTCAATTGTTTAAATTGTTTAGAAAAGAAATAAAAGCGTTTTTTTTTTTTTTTTTTTTTTTTTGGGGGGGGGGGGGTGGGGAAGGGTATTGGTGGTATTTGAAAAAAAAAAATTAACTTTGGTGATATTCATGTATTACGAACCTTACGGAAAAAAAATAGTTTACTACCCCCGTACATTTTGCACCCATATAATATATTACTTGGATCAACAGCCCAAAGGCGTAGCTAAGGGGGGCAGAGGGGGCACAGATGTCCCAGGGTGCCAGACTAGTTAGGGGCGCCAAAATGTGCTTTGATATTATTTTATTGATGAAAATAACGGGCTTGAGAGTTGAAAAAAGAAAGGGATGCGCTTTAATATGAATCTTGTCTCCGGGCGCCAAACACTCTAGCTACGCCTCTGCCACAGCCCCCTAATTAATAGCGTACAGTGGCCTTGCAAATAAGCTTTAACAGCCGACTAAATAATTATGTCGCACCCGCAGAAACATACAAAGACTGACGGTAGACTAAAGTAGTCACTGGAGACAAAAATAGTGTTGCGATAGCTGGTGAGTTCATTTATTAAAACACTAGGCAACAGTATGATGACAATTACGAAAAAAAAAATTTGTGATATCTTTTAAAGCCTTAAAAAAAAAAATAGGATCATGGGTTTCATTAATTTTTTCGTGGCATTTTACTGAATTTGTGAATAAATTTGCGTACACATTAAAACACATTTTGATAAGTCCCTTCCCCACTATCAAACGCAAAAAAATCTCCTAAATCACCACACCCCACTCTCCCCGAGCGAATTTTAGCGTGGCCACTTTTCCAAATTGAATTTAATTAATTTTATAAGTTAAGTAATTTGGTTCTCACTGCTAAAATAATCATCTGCAGGGCAGTGGGCCCTTTAAAATTATGGTGCATAAAAGCCATAACGAATAGGGATTCTCAAAATGAAATAAGCCTCATAATTTTTATAATTTTGAATTAAAATTTTTTGACTCATCTGTAGATTTCATTACTTTATTGTTTTGTTGTTGTTGTGTGTGTGTGTGTGTGTGTGTGCGTGTGCGTGTGCGTGTGAGCGTGCGTGTGCGTGTGCGCGCGCGCGTGTGTGTGTGTGTGTGTGTGTGTGTTTATCTCTCTTTCCCTTTAGTGAATTTGGAGTCAATTATTATTTTCTTTAGAATTTTCTTTTCTTAAATTTTCGTTTGAGCCAACATACAAACTAACTTGTTCTCCGTACACAACTTTATCAATTACTTCAACCATAGTTCTGTTGATTGAAGTCATCGATTGTTTTTGCAGTGACACGTCCATTGAATGAGACTGTTTAAAGGTAATTTAAAGAGTAATAACAGCTCGCGCTACATCCTTGCATTCCTAGATTCAACCTTTAGCTTTGCCACTGAAAGGATGTGTTCATTACCGATATCAGCATGACACATTAAGAGTCCACTAGACATACAGCAGGGAGAACCTCCATTTTTCCATTGATGCTGATTTGATCAATCTCTTGGACTCGTTCTTCCATCTGGTGAAGTCCAAGTGAGCGTATAGTATAGGTTTTGTTTTCTCCCCAGAGGCTAAGCACTCCTTCAACATTTGTTGGTTACATTTCGAAGGCTGTGATTTCCAAGCGTGTTTTTAATTCTTTTCATTTCCATTTCAAACGCCGCCCCGGGGGAAAATTTCAGAAAGAAACAATGAGGAGGACGTCCTACCCTGGTCACTATTCAAACGCGGCTTGTAAAAAGTTGCAGAATGTGTTTTTCTCTTATTATATGGCACATGGAATGCAACTGAATATCTGCTCCCATGTTGTAGAAGTCCTTGCTACTTTAAGCTAGTCTAAATGAGTGTTTCCAAAACTTTTTTTTTTTTACTAGTGGAGCCCTTTTAATCAATTTCTAAAGGGGTGGGGGGGGGGGGGGGGTATGCCTAAGTCTAACAATTTAATAGTGTTTCCTTTTTTAAGGTTTT